CCTTCCCGTCGCTCCCCTCCATTTTCGACGACCGACCCCTGGCCGGCACGCCGCAGCCGTTCCGCAAGTACGGCGCGCGCGACCGAGCGGGCTCGCCGACCGGCAACCAGCTCCCGCAGCAGCGACAGCCCGCCACCGGCAGCGGCGGATCGATTCCCCTCACATCACAGCGCTCGCGCAAGGAGTCGTCGCCCACCGCCCGGCGCCGGCCAGCGCTGGCGCTGGGAAGCTCGGGCACGATACCGCCTGAGGAGACCAATGGCCGACTGAAGAGCACCTACTTCAATCCACAGGTCCGCAAGATCGCGCTTGGGTCCCAGCGAACCTCGAGAATGGTAAGAAGAGCTCTTACTCTCGGCTCCTTCATTGTGCGCATTGGCCAATTCCGTTCGCTCACTGTCCATTGTGTGTGTGTGTGTGTGTGTGTGTGTGTGTGTGTGTGTGTGTGTGTGTGTGTGTGTGTGTGTGTGTGCCGTGCAGGAAAAACTGAGGAACATTCAAATCGGGTCTCTGATCGGCAAGCCCCTCGGGTGGACCAGCGGCGAGGAGGAAGTGCGCGACTTCCGTGCGAAGATGGCGCGACTGTTCGACTTTGACAACTGGGAGCTGGGCGAAAAGGGATTCGCCAACATCCAGCAGGTGATATGCCCCACTCCTCTCTTTTCTTTTTTCCTCTTGACACGTTGCACCAAGTGTCTTGTGATGCTAACGCGCACACACATGAGCAGGTGTCGGGCACCAATTTTGAGCTGCCGTTGGCTGCCGAGCAGGTGCGGGTGAAGCTCCACTTCCCCTCGGGCTCGCTCGTGCGCACCCTGCTCTGCTCCGCCGACGACACCGTCTATGATTTGGGTACCTTGTCCCTCACCCCCCCGCAAACAACTTTCTTCAGTTTGCGGGTGAGCGTTCTTCTCATTCCTCCAACCATACCACCGACACACCAAAGTGGCGACTGGTCTGTCGAGCGTCAAGATCCGACAGGCGATGTCCATCTCGGGCGAAGTCGGCGACTACCTGGTCAAGATCTGCGGGTGACCACCACTGCCGCCCCCACCAAAAGTTGCAGGTGTCAGATGTAACCAACACGACACGACACACCATTTAGATACTCGTGGTACATTCTCAACCTCGACACCAAGCTGCGGAGCGTGGACTACGTGCGCGAGAGCATCAAGCGCAACAAGGAGGTCGAGTTCGTCCTGGTCGAGCGGTCCTCCTTCAAACGAACCGATCTCCAGGAACTGGTCTACCTCGACCACTTCCAGGTTTGCGCGCGAAAAGCCACCACCCACTGTCGTGAGCAGTGCGAACGGCTTGGTTTTTTAGTTGTCGACTCACTTCGTTCGTGCTACCTGCGAGCAGGACGTCGATTTGGGGATGGACACCGAGCCGTTCGATGACGACGAAGATCCGTCCCTCGCCGGCGGATTCGGTGAGAAGAAACACATCCCGCTCTCTGAAATCAAGCGCAACTTTGAGCTTAGGTTCGTACCGTGCGTGTGCGTGTGCGTGTGCGTGCCTGCGCTGCTCTGGTAAAGGCGCCTAACCGCCAACGTGCGCCAGGGTCATTTGCCTGGAGGATGCGGACTTTGGCGAGGTGCCAGCGATGCAGCAGCTCCCCAAGGGCGTGCCCGTCCACTTCTACGTCTCTGCTGCTCTCTACCACGGTACATCCGTATTCCCCTGCGCCGCGGCGGATGATGACGCGGCCACTGATGGTTGTGAATGCTGGGCTGGCGCAGGCGGCGAGAGTTTGGCGCCGGAGATGAAGACGACCGCCACGCCGTCGATGCTCTGGTGTCAGTGGCTGCGGCTCAACCTCCAGATGTGCCAAATTCCCAAGGTAAAGCTGTGTGTCGTGTGTCGTGTGTCGTGTCGGGCGCTCACAACAAGCGCACCGCCAGGCCACACGTCTGTGCCTATCGCTGATGGGCGTCAACCCCAACGACGGGTCCGAGTTCCCGCTCGGGTGGGTGAACCTCAACCTCGTCGACTACAACGGCAACCTTCGCATGGGCGTCACCTCTCTCAATCTCTGGCCGGGCGAAAAGGCCAACCCCATCGGTACTCCCTTTCCTCCCCGACTTGTTGCCTGCCGCTCTTCAGCCACTTCCACCACCACCCCAGCTGCTGACGATCACAACCTTGTTTTTGTGTGTGTCAACACAGGCACGTGCGTGCCGAACTACAAGTCGAAGAATCCGATCAAGCTGATCGTGGAGCTCTACAAATTCCCACACGTGGTCAAGTACAAGCGACCAATCCTCGTCGGTACAGCTCTTGGCAACCAACCAACCAACCAACCAACCAACCAACCAACCAACCAACCAACCAACCAACCAACCACTTCCTTTTATTTATTTATATTTTATTGCTTATGTGCAGCCCCGGCGTACGAGGACAATCCCTACCCGCGAGCGCCGGAACGCAAGCGACTGGTCCACATCATCTCGCAAGGTACCTTAAGCGTGCAGCACCCGCCGCGGTCTGTGTTCGAAGCCTGGTGGCTAATATACGCCCCCCCCCCAATCGCCCCCCACCAAAGATTCGCTCCACATGCCCAGCAGCGAGGAGAAGAAACTGCTGTGGGAGTACCGCCGCACGCTGGCGCCCAACCCCAAGGCTCTCGTACGTGGCCCCTTTTCCTTCCGCGGCTGCGGGGGCTGTGACTCATGTCTGTTGTGTGTGCGGTGGGTGGTGGATGGTGGATGGTGGTGCAGGCCAAGGTGTTAATGGCCATCAACTGGTCGCGACCCGAGGACGTGGCCGAGGCCCACCGCATGCTCACCTACTGGACGCCGTTGTCGCCCATCGAAGCACTCGAGGTACGTCTTGGGCACCTCTCCTGTACTTTGGCCGACGCACAGTGTACCTTCTCACGCAACTCTAACGACGCCCCCCGCACCCACCGCACGCGCACGCGCACCACCGCACACGACATCGACGTTCAGTTGCTCGATGCCTACTTCGCCGACGAGGTGGTGCGCGAGTACGCTGTCGCCAAGCTTTGCCAGGTACTGTTGCTGTGTCTGTGGCTCATGGCACACCCGCGGCAGCTGTTCAGCGAAGCGGAGATTAACGCGTGCGTCCGCGTTTGCAGCTCTCGTTGGACGAGTTGCAGGCCTATCTTCCCCAGCTCACACAGGTCCTCAAATACGAACCCTACCACGATTCAGGTACCGCACACGCACACGCACCGCCGCACACGCACGCACGCACTCACGTTCCGTTTTGTCTCTCGTCGCGTTCAGCACTGGCGCGTTTCCTGTTGGCTGCTGCCTTCCGGCATCGACCGACGATCGGCCACTTCTTTTTCTGGCATCTTCAGGCCGAGCTGCAAGTATGCAGCTTGTTGTCGTGTGTCGTGTGTCGTGTGTCGTGTGTCGTGTGTCGTGTGTCGTATGGCGGTGCGTGTGTGGCGTGAGCAGCTCCAGGACAGATGATGACCGCGTCACGTGGGGGGGGGTGATGATGCTGCGCAGGTTCCTGATATCAGCGAACGCTATTCCCTGCTGCTGGAGGTCTACCTGCGCGGATGCGGTCAACAGCGGGAGGGCCTCCTCAAGCAGATGGAGGTCTCCTCCAAGTTGGGCCGCATCGCCAACCTCATGAAACCCCTTCCCTTCAAGGAGCGCAAGCAGGTAACACGACACACGACACACGACACACGACACACGACACACGACACACGACACACGACACACGACACACACGACACACACGACACACACGACACACACGACACACGAACTCGCACCTCATTCTTTGGCACACAGGCGCTTCAAAACGAGCTGGTGGCTGCGGGTCTGCCCTCCCACTTCATTCTGCCCATGAACCCGGCGTACGTCCGCCCTTTGCCCAACTTCATCTTCATTCCCCCTACCCCCCCTCGCCTCACCTACCCATGGGGCAACCACCAGCTTGGAGGCACGAGATCTGAACTGCGACGAGTGCAAGACCCTCGAGTCCTTCACCGTACCTTTCTCCTTCCTCGTGTCGTGTCGCGCGCGCGCGTGTGTCTGGTCGTGTCGTTGGTCGTGTCGTGTCGTGTCTCGTGTCGTGGGCGGTGCGGGCGAGTTGGTCTTGACATTGCGTTGCTGGGTGCAGGCGCCGCTGTTCCTGTCGTTTGACAACAACGACCCGGCGGGCAGCCCGTTCAAGGTCATCTTCAAGGCGGGCGACGATCTGCGCCAGGACATCCTCATCCTGCAGATGTTCGGTTCGTAGTAGCCACGCACTCTGTCTACACGGCGTGTACAGTTCAACTCATGGCACAATGCCACACACACGACACACATACGACACACACGACACACACAACAATCACACAAACAGGGATCATGGATCGGTTGTGGAAGAAGCACGGGCTGGACCTGCACATGACCCTCTACGGATGCACCGCCACCGGCGAGGCGGCCGGGTGCGTCTCCGCTCGCCCTGGTTCCCCCGGCCTCTTTTGTTTGTGCTTACATCTGCTGCTGCTGCTGCTGCTGCTGCACAGGTTCATCGAGGTGGTGCCGGACTGTGAGACGACGGCCTCCATTCAAAAGGTTTGTTTTCACCACCGTGCCAGGCGCTCGACCGCACAGCACACCACTCACCACCAACTCGCAACCGGTTGCCTTTCGATGGCACATACAGAAAGCTGGCGGTGCGTCGGCGGTGTTCAAGGACTCGGTGCTCACCAACTGGCTCAAGAAATACAACCCACAAGGTACTCCCATCCTCGAGGGTTCCTGGCACGAGTCCGTTCGCTCGCTCACTGCTCTTCCCTTTCTCTTCGGTGTGTGCGCGCACACAGAGGACCAGTGGGCGGGCGTGGAGGACAACTTCATCCGATCGTGCGCCGGCTACTGCGGTACAGCGAGATTGTTTTTGATTTTGTTATTATTTGATTTTGTTTATTTGTTTGTTTTGTTTTGTATTTGTTTCGTTGATTTACTCCTTTTTTTAAATGTTGTTTCCCAATTCCAGTGGCCACCTATGTGCTGGGTATCGGGGATCGTCACAACGACAACGTGCGTTGCAATCAGCCACTCGCTCGCTCGCTCGCACACATGTCACGCCGCGCGCCATGCACGCGTTCGAGCGTCGAACTGATTGGTGGTGATGGTGGTGGTGATGTGGTACACAGATCATGGTGACGTACAGCGGGCACCTGTTCCACATCGACTTTGCCCACTTCCTGGGCAACATGATGGAGTGGAAGGGCTTCAAGCGAGAAACCGCTCCCTTCGGTAACAACCCACCCACTCGCCCGCTCTAATAGTGCCATACCGCGCGCGCGCGTGTGTGTCGTGTGTGTGTCGTGTGTGTGTGTCGTGTGTGTGTGTCGCGTGTGCCATGTTGACGCTGGGGTCTCTTGCAGTGTTCACGCCGCAGTTCCTGCACGTGATGGGCGGAGAGAAGGGCGCCGGGTTCCAGCGCTTCGTGTCGCTCTCGTGCCTGGCCTACAACATCATCCGCCGCTACGCCCACGTCATCATGATCCTCTTCCAGCTGTACGCATTCCGTTCCCTCGCGTGATGCACAACACGCGCTCACCGCACACGACACGACACGCGCTCATCGCACACGACACGACACACGCTCATCGCACACGACACGATACGACACGCGCGCAGATGCTGTCGACGGGCATCAAGGAGTTGAAGGGGGTGGAGGATCTGCACTACTTGCGCGAGGTGCTGGCGTTGAACATGTCCGACGAGAAGGCGGCCGAGTACTTCACCACCAAGATCTACGAGTCGCTCAAGACCAAGCGCACCCAGTTCAACGACGCCATCCACATCCTCGCCAACAACAAGAAGAACGAGTGAGCCCACGACGTCGTCATTCCCGCGTACATTAGCTAACAAAAAAAAACAAGTCTTAATCTAAAACATTCCGCAAACGTTTGCGAAATTTTTGATATTAGTTTGGCTCAAACAATAATTACAGGAGAACAAGAAGAGAGTGGTGATGGTGGTTGGTCGTAGACCACTACTGGGAGGCAGGAACGCCCAGGCGAGTGTAGCGCATCAGCTGCAGACCCATCACCACGGGTTCGGGTATGTCGCCCTCGACGATCCAGTGGCCGTGGTTGGACTTGGAGGCGAGGAAATGGCGCGAGAACTTCCAGTGGCGGTCCACGCTCTCGTCGTTGACGAACTCGCGCTCCTGCTCGTCCCACAGGTAGGTGAAGTCGGCCTGCATCAGCGAGAAGTCCTGCAGCCGCATGTTGGCTCCTCCGTCGCGATGCCAGATCAGCGTCACCCCGTCCCACACGCCTGTCGGCACCACCATTCTTCATTAGCATTTGCTGCGCGTGTGTCGTGTCGTGTGTCGTGTGTGTCGTGTGTGTCGTGTGTGTCGTGTGTGTCGTGTGCTGTGCGTACCGGAGCCGAAGCCGGACTGTCGAATACGCTGGGCTTCGGTCTCGTCGGCAAAGGTGCCATCTGCTGCGACTCGGGTGGGCACCAAGGTCTGACCATTCCAGGTGTAGCTCACCTCCACCTTCCTGCCCTCCCATAGCAGTCCGTCCAAGATACTCAACTCACCTACGAAATGTGCGTGTGCGGTGTGTGTGTGTGTGTGTATGTGGTGTGTATGTGTATGTGTCGCGCGTGTGCGGTCAGCTCCAGCGTTGAGAAAAGCTCGCACGCTGTCGGGCGTACCTGTCTTGCCGTTGTAGATCCATTCCTCGTCGTCCGCTGACTTAATCGACCCACCGCGCACCCCGATAAAGTGTCGCGCACGCAAAAGAGACAGCTGCGCCGCCGCCACCACCGCACATTCACCGACCGAGCTCTGTCAGTACTGCTGCCCGTTGCGTGCGTGTGCGGTGTGTGCGGTGTGCGTGTGCGTGTGCGTGTGTGCGGTGCGTGCGGTGGTGCAAGTACCTTTTGTGCGGTGGTGAGGATGGAGCGGTCCTTCATGCCGTCGATGGCGAGGATCCATTTTATGTTGTCGGCGGGCGTGGGCGCGGCGAGGCACAGCTGCGACTCGCACACGAGCGACAGTTCGATGTAGTCCTGCTGGCCCTCCTTGGCCACCTTGTCCTGGTGCCCGATGCACACGATCTCCCCGATCATCACCTCCCTCGCCAACTTGTCGCACTGCGCGTGTCGTGCGTGCCGTGTCGTGTTATTGCGTGTGTCGTGTGCCGTGCGTGCGCACACGCGTGTGTGGCGTGTGTTACGCACCTTGGCGGTGGGGTACAGCTTGAGGCCGTGTTCGCTGACGGTGCACCACATCTTCTTCCAGCTCTTGGAGAAGAGCATCATCGGCCCGGCGTGGTACGGTCGCTGCTGCGCGCCGGCGCCGCGCAGTCGCTCCACGCGCGACTTCTTCGCAATTGCCAGCGCGACGATGCCCCCGGCAAACGCCGACGCGTCGCCGTCGAGCTGCATCTCCCGCAGCAGATCCTTGAATCGATCCGCCCGATTCTTTGATATGCCCGCGCCCTCTACACAACACTCACTTCAGCACACACCGCACACACACACACCACCGCACGCACGCACTTCGCACACGCACACACGCACACGTACTGGTGAGTTTGTTGATGGTCTTGTCGCGTTGGATGTACTGCTGTCGCCGGCGTTCGGCCTCCTCGGGGTCCTCCGAGGTGAGCGGCACGCTCTCCACGCTCTCCCCGCTGCTCCCGCTGCTGTGGTCACCGCCGTCGACGCTCAACGGGTCGTCGAACAGGTGGGTGAGCCGCCGGCGCGACGGCGAATGCAGCCCGCCCGCGCCGCCGCCGCCGTTGTTGCTGTTGTTGCCGGCGCTGACCAGGCCGCCACTGTTCTGCTTGCGCACGATGCGCCGTTCAGTGTCGCCGCCGCCACCACCGGCAGCCGGGCTGGGTTGGGCGGGCGACGACGCGGAGAGGGCGGACTTGGCGGGCGCGGGAGAGGCACCCGCGCCGGCGACGATTGCGGCCGAACGCGGGGGTCCGCCGAGCGACGACTGGCGCTGGTGGCCGCCGCCGGGTACTCTCGGCGACGGCGAAGGTGACGCGGTGGTGCGCGGCGACGCCGACGATGACGTCGACGAGGAGACGGCGCGGGGGGAGGGGGACGACAGGGGCGACGGCGAGGTGGTGGTCGGGGAGGAGGACAGGCGCGGCGATTCGGTCTCGCCCGGGCGCGGCGAACCGACCCGCACCCCGTCGGGCCGCTCTGCCCCCGGAAAGTAGCTGCGCAGCTTGTTCAGCGTTTGCCCTGTGGCCACCGCTGCGTCAGTCCATGTGTGCGTGTGCGGTCGTGCGTGTGCGGTGTGTGCGGTGAGTGTGTGCGGTGGGTTGTGTGTACCGACGGCGAGCAGCTTGTTCCACGAGCCGGCGATGAGGATGTACTTCTTGATGATGGTGACCTTGGTGCGGACCTCCCACAGCACAAAGTCGGTGCTCATCCAAAAGTTGACCAGCCGCTGGTAGTCGGCCGACGTCGGGTCGCTGGGCCGGTAGGCGTACTTCTTGGGGTTGTACAGCGTCGAACCGGTCGGGAATGCCTCCAACACCTGTCCAAGCCCTACCGTCAGTCATGCGTGTCGTGTGTCGTGTCGTGCCGTGTGCGTCGTGTCGTATCGGGTCGTGTCGTGTCGTGTGTGCTGTGTCGTGTGTGCATACGGTTTTGATCTGCATGAGACTGATACAGTCCTCTCGCTGTCGGGCGATGTCTTCGGCTGTGCGTGCGCCCTCCGTTTCGACTTCCACCACCCGCACCTGGCCACGCCATCGCAAACAACAGCAAAACGTTGGACACGACACGACACGACACGACACGACACGACACGAGACACGACACGACACGACACGACACGACACGACACGACCAACAACACGACCAACGACACGACCAACGACACACAAATGGGGGGAGTTGGCCAGGTAGGTACCCAAGACATCATGTCGTCGAGAATGATTAGCATGAGTCTTCTGAGGTTTTCGATGCGCTCGGGCGGCTGCGAGGGAGAGGAACGCGACGGCGACAATGGCGTGGCGGGAAACGGAGACGAAGAAGAAGATCTTGGCGAAGATGAAGATGAAGATGAAAAAGATGATGAAGAAGAAGATGATGATGAAGAAGAAGAAGAAGAAGAAGGTGAAGTGACTTCTCCGCCCAGCGAGTAGGTTCGTCGGTGGATTGCCATCGATGAGGGCGAGAGCGGGCCGCGCGGCGAGGCGGCAGGAGCAAACGGCTGCTTGAAGGGGCTACTGGTGGTCTGGGTCGTGGACGAGTCGTGGCGGTGGCTCTGAGGCGACTCGGGCGGCGAGGCGGCGGCGGTGGTCGGCGGCTGGGTCACGGCCCGTGAGGGGGGGATATGTGGCGTTGCGGCGCGGCGCCGGCGGGGCGACAAGGCCGACGGCGAGGCCAGGAAGCTGGTGCTGGCGGCGAAGCTCACGCCACCCGATGATGAAGATAATGAAGAAGATGATGACGATGATGATGAAGAGGGAGATGATGATGAAGCGGATTGGGAGAGCTTGTGGGAGAGGGAGGGGACCACTTTGCCTCGCACAACCTTGGAGGGGGAAGAGGTGGGCGAGCGGGTGGCCACCGCTGGCGGCGATCCATACTCCATGATGAGCGCGTAGAGTTCTTCCAAATCCTCTTCTTCCTCACTACCACCACTGCTACTACTTCTGGATTTGTGGTGTCGCACAGAAGAACAGTTTAGTTTAGGTGAAGCTGAAAGAAACGGTTCGAAAATGACCGTTAAAAATGAGCTAATAATGCTCCAAAAAGGGTCTTTACCAAAAAAGCAATCTCACAAGATTTATTTCATTATTAAAAAATTGAAACAAATGAGTTTTGAAAAGAGGTACCTTGAGAAGTAGCCTTCGTAGGCGGCGGAGAGATCGGGACAGGTGCTGGCGCGCTGCTTGAGGTGCAGCTCGAGGAGGGTCCTGGGGCTCTCGCTGACCGAGAACGAGACCGAGCGCTCTGCGTTCTTGGCGAGTGGCGTCTTCCACACGATATTGGGCCGTGCGCAGCCGCGTAGGGGCACCATCGCCACGCCAGAGCTGGCGTCCTTGATCTCCTCCTCTTTCGCTGTAATGCGGGTGAGCGTGGAAAGAAGAAAGAACGAAAGCGACAAGCGACAAAGAACGAAAAAGGAGGAGAACGAACCGAGGAGGAGCGCGGCGATGGTCTTGCTGGCGGCCACATCGCGCGCCGACATGCCGGCCGTGTCCCCGAAGGTACGCAAGCGCACATCGGGCACTGGCCGCGACAGCAGCTCACGGACCGCCCTCTCGTAGCCTCGCTTGCTGGCCACATGCAGCAGAGACTCGCCTCGCCTGTTCTTGGTCGTGTGCGTGATGTGAGAATTACGCGAGTGCGTACGCGTGCGGTGTGGTGTGTGCGTGTGCGTGTGCGGTGGTGTGTGCGGTGGTGCGTGTGCGCAGACAGTTGGGCGTACTTGGAACGAACGGACCGATCGAGGCCCTCGGCCGTAAGGAGTCGCAGGGCGAGGGCCTCGGTGTCGGCCACGTGGAAGGGCGTGAGGCCCTCGGACAGCGAGGCGATGTTGGGGTCGGCTCCGGCCTCGAGCAGGATCTGAACCAGCCGCAGCTTGGTCTTCTCCAGCCGCTTGGCCTGGTCCTCTAGCTCCGACAAGTCCACCACCGAGTCCTGGTCACGGTCAAAGTAACTCCGAAGCACGGCCCGCGTGGTGACCTGTGTCGCCATTGGCCCTCCCACGGCATTCATGTCCACCGTCTCCTTCTTCTTCTTCTTCATGATCATACTATTCGTCTTCTTCTTCTTCTTCCTACTCTCCGGGTCGTCGTGCTGTTGAGCGTGGAGCTGCTCGAACGCCGCGCGGAGGTGTGGCGGGAAAGCGGCGGCGTAGTGGAGGGCGGTCCACCCGTGGTCGTCCTGCGCATTGAGGTCGATCCACTCGCGATGGCGCCGGAGCAGGCCCTTCACCACGGCCAGCTGGCCGTGCTCGGCGGCGGTGGCCACCAGCGTCTGGCCCTCGGCGCTGCTGCGCACCACCAGCCCGGCGCCGGTGTTGGCGATGAGATTGAAGAGGCTCTCGGTCTTGCCCGTGCGGGCCAAGTCATGGGCGAGCAGCGCCGTTGTGCGGTCGTGGCTTCTCGAGCCTCCGCGATGGGTCATGACCGCTGATAGTCAATCGTGAAGCGAGGCCGACAGTGTAAGCCGTTGAAGCTGAAACTGAAGACCAAGCTTGTCGTGTACGATAAGAGTTGGGCTGAAGTGGTACAAACGCGATGATGTGCCGCAGCGGGCTCCGCTCTTCAAAAAGACGTGAGGAGAAACGCGGTACGCAGAAGGAAAGGGGGAGCAAGAGTGTCACCGGTGGTCGAGCGCAGAGAAAGTGCTGGAATACTTGGTGACTCCCCGCCCACCATGATGTGTGCGGCATGTTCAGGGCTAACCTTAGCACATTACCTGAGCCAGGTGCGTGACCCTACGCACAAACCAACGCACCATACCAGCCAAAGAACGAAGCGCGGGATTTCGGCCCTCAAGTTTGAGGTGGTGGCTTGTGGTTGGGGGGGGGGCACGTTCGGTGGACAGCGCCGACGCAGCGTGCTGAGGAGGGCACGCAACAACAACAGAAGCTCAGTTCTCCAATGGCACGCGCAACTGTTGGCTGCGCCATAAAATTCAAAATATTTCAGGGCAAACGCGGTGAAATATTTTAAATTCCAGGTCTCGACAACGGCATGTGGACGAGGATGTGCGTGGCGAGCAGGTCCTCCGCCCAAGCTGTGCTGCGAGAAGAAGGGTGAGGTCGTCTTCAAGATGATGAGCTCGGCATCGTTCGGGCTGCCGGTGGGTTCGCCCCCCAATTCGAATCTCACTTCATCATCGTCCGCCCATCAGATTCGATTGAGCCGGCGATCGTCGGTCTCGCTCGGGGCGCCGCTGCTCTCCACCCTCGAGCGCACCATGTCCGTCCTACGCGGCGACATCGTCGAGAAGATGAAGGAGAGCGTGGGCTACGAGCTCGAGCCGGCCCTCGCCGCCCACAATCTCCACCGTCGCCTCAGTCGAGGCGGCTCATCTTCCACATCGACATCGCAGCAACAGCAGCACTCCGTGATGACCTCCATGGGCGAGGTCATCGATGTGGGCGGCAGCCCCATACCGTTGGCTCGTCGCAAGCACAGGAAGTGGCGCAAGCCGGGGAGGATGAAGGGCTCATCGTCATCTTCAAGGAATCTGACCGAGGACCCTCTGAGAGATGGAGATGGAGGAGCTGGGGAGGGAGGAGATGGAGACGATAATGATGAAGATGAAGAGGAGGAGGTGAGGAGGAGCCAGCGGGGCCGACGGCGCGCGCAGTCGTTCATGGGCGAGGAGACGGAGAACGACTGGGACGACGACGACTCGGTCGACGAGGACCAGCTGCGGCGCCGCCAAGAACGAATCGAGTCTGCGCGACGAAGAGCGAAAGCGACGAAGAAAAGCGGCAACGCAGCAGCGCCTCAGCAGATGAGGAACGACGGTGGTGGCGACGACGATGTCGGCTCGATGGCCGACGCCGCAGCCGCGGCCGCCGCGCGAGATCCGGCGCTGTCGACTTCATCGTCGCTGGGCTCGTCGTCGGCGAGCATGCTGACGTCGACAGTGCAGCCGCAGCTGCTCTCGCTGGCCTCGTCGTCGGCCGTGCCCACGCGCGGCCAGTCGCCGGCGTTCCGCTCGCCGCTCCTCGAGCAGCACGACCAGATGCTCAAGCAGTGGCAGCAGGCCAACAAGATCCACCGACCACTCCGACGAGGTGAGGCGCGGCCCGGCGGCGGCAACGACGACAGCGACGAGGACCTGGAGGCCGGCCTGCCGCTGCTGTCGCGCGACAAGGCCGCGGCGGCGGCTGCAGGCGCTGGCGGTGGTGTGGGCGGCGGCAAGAAGGGCGGCGGCTACGGCTACGGCGGCGTCGAGGTGCGGGAGGACTACGACGAAGCGGTGATGTTCCTCAAGGACCTGTGCGAGTCGCTCCACCTGTTCGGCGCACCGGCGCACCGCATCGAATACAACATGATGCGAGCCAGGTACCTCCTCCTCCTCCTTCTTGCGCGGTGACGTCACCATAGACGACTGGTGCCAACCAACCGATCACGGGCGGAACTGCTGAGACTAACTTCTTTGCTTCGCTTTCGTGCTCTTTGTTTCGTGATATCTTAGCGATGGCCTCGACATCGTGGCGGCCTACGCCGTGTTCCCCGAGCTCTGCATTCTGTCCTTCGGCCCGCAGGACGACGGGTTTGTTCTATCTTCAACAATCATTCACTGTCACCGTCTTCTCGTTGGTGGTGGCCTCTCACAACTTCTTCTCTGTCTCTTTCTCTTTTCTCTTTTCTTTTCTGTGTCGCTGTGGACACGACAGGGGGACGATCAGGAAGGCCGAGACGTACCTCTACCGCAAGAACCAGGGCGGACTCAACTGCGCCAAGCTGCGGTGGTGCGATGACCTGGCCACCAAGGGTAACCCCTTCCTCACTTCGCCTTTGTTGGTGTGTGTGCGCGCGCGCGTGCGTGTCGTGTCGTGTTATGTGAGCCTGCTTGCCCGCCTCACCCGTGTGCTGCGCCTACGCAGTGGCCAATCAGGAGATTGGTGTAAAGGAGGCGGCTATGGAACTGTACATTATTCGGCAACTTGGACCCGTCTATCCTCTGTGGGTCAAGGTAACCACCACCAACCACCACCAACCTCTTGCTCGAGCTTATCTTGGAATGTCAAGACTGCCCAAGGACTAAACACACAAAACAAAACAAACTGTTTTGTCTCCGCCTTCCCTCCGTAGCTGCTCATGTACGGCTTCGCTTCACTGGCCGTGTGCGCAGTCTTCTTCCGCGGCGGATGGCTAGGTGCGTGTGTGTGGTGTGTGCGGTGTGTGCGTGTGCGTGTGTGCATGGGAGCGCGTGCGTGCACAAGGAGCTCATACCGTTTCGATGCGTGGCTGCAGAGATGTTGGTGAGCTTGGTGCTGGGAACCGGAGTCGGGGTGGTGAGCTTGATCGGCACCCGGTACGGCAGCGTGGAGCGGATGCTGGAAGCCATTGTTTCGATCGCAGCCGCCTTCCTGGCGCGCCTCTTCGTCGAATACGTCTATCCGGCCTGCTGGGGCGCCATATCCCTGTCAACCATCGTGTGGATGCTTCCCGGTATCGCCCAATTTGCTGTGTGTGTGCGGTTGTGTGTGTGTGTGTGGTTGTGTGGTTGTGTGTGTTTGTGTGTGGTTGTGTGTGCGCGCGTGTGTGTGCGTGTGTATGTGTGTTGCATGCCTAATCGTGAGTTTTTTTGTGTAAACAGGATTGTCGCTAACGGTGGGTGTAAACGAGTTGGCCGAGCGCAAGATGATATCAGGCACGGTGCGCGTCTTCTTCGCTATGCTCATCGCGCTCGAGCTCGGCTTCGGTCTGGCGATCGGTACCCACCTTACCGCCCTCTCAAGCGCAGCGCGTTGCTGATGATCGAATGCGCACTCCGCCCAATTTCAGGCTCGCTTCTCGTCTTTTGGGAGGACGAGGCCGAGTTTCTTGAGAAGGCGGGCGACCACCTATGCGACGGCACCAACGGCTGGGTCATGCTCCTCTTTTTCTTCGTCATCTGCATCACCTTCAATGGTCTTCAGGAGGCCCTGCCCAACCAGGTACGTCTGACCACCGCCCAACCCACGCATTCCTGCATTCCACTCACACGCGCATACAGTGGCCGATGATGACCTTCACTGCGTCGTTGAGCTACGGCCTGTCATTCCTGGGCGGTTTGGCCGGCCTTCGGCCCCAGATCTGCACCACCGTTTCCGCCTTCGCGACCGGCATCGTCGGCAACGCCCACGCGCGGCTCACAGGCCACACAGCGACCATTCCTATTAACGCAGGCACGCTTCGCTTCTCTCTTTCTTTTCGCTTTCGTTCTTTGTTCGCTTTCGTTCTTCTTGCTAACGGTCTTCGTCTTCGCTTTTCTTTCTTGCAGGAATTCTCGTCTTGGTGCCGGGGTCGGTGGGCGTGCGCGGCGTGAAGGCGCTGATGGAGAACGACATCGTGTCGGGCATCCAGTTCGGCTTCTCGATGCTCACCATCGCCCTCTCCATCATCGTCGGTCTCTTCGTCGCCAACATGCTCTTCCCGCTCGCAACCAAAGCTGCGCCCAAGCCCGCCAGCCCGGACGCCAACAATAGCACCGACCTCGGCGTTTCCCAAGGCCCGCTCGACCACATCTCTCCGCCGCACGAACTGCAGCGATTCTCCGCCAAGTAACAAAATTCGTACATAAAGGGAGTTCACTGCGGTGCCGCCCGGTGCGCGCTCCTCATCTCAATTCATTCATTCATTCGTTCATCCATTCATTCATCCGCAGCCAAGAATATCATTGGTTCCACTAGAGTCGTGCCTGGGCGAACTGGGCGGGCTCGTCGGCCAACTTGACGATCAGCTTGCCCTTGTTCGCACCTGGTAGTTTGGATATCAGAGCTTGCTTGATGAGATACGGTTGCCTTGTGTCGTGTGTTGTGTGTGTGTGTGTGTGGTGTGTGTGTGTAGTGTTAGGCACACGCACCGGTGAAGAGCATGTTGAGGTATTCGGGGGCGCGCTCGAGACCCTCGACCACCTCCTCGGCGTACTTGAGCTTGCCCTCCTTCACCCACTGGCCCAGCTCGCGAATGGCTGCAATGGGACACCCCTTTAGATCAGACACCACGACCCAACCGCGGGGGGAACGAGAAAAATAAAGAAAGCGATAGCTAACGCGAAACGCGTACCAAGAGGGTACTCGGGGATGTAGTCGAAGAGCACGAATCCTTCCATGCGCGCACTGTGCACAAGCAGCGACAGGTAGTTGGCCGGACCTGTGCGGACCATCGTCAGCCGCCATCGATCGAACACACACGACACACACGACACACGACACACACACACGTACCCTTGGTTTGGGCGGCGTTGTACTGCGAGATGGCGCCGCAGATGACGATGCGTGCGCCTGCGCGACCACATTGCCATTCACTGAATGAGTCGGTGGACTACGACAGAGCGCAGGGGATCGCCCACGAGCGCGCCGTACCCTTTCGGATCCGCTTGAGTGCGACGTCGAGGATGTCGCCGCCCACGTTGTCGAAGAACACGTCGACGCCCTTCGGGCAGGCCTGGCGGATCTCATCGTTGAGTTGGTCGGCCGACTTGCCCTTGTAGTTGACCACGGCGTCGAAGCCGAGCTCGTCGACCAGCCACTTGCACTTCTCGTCCGACCCCGCAATGCCCACTGCGCGCGCGATCAGGCGTCGGCGTGGGCGTGGGCGTGGGCGTCAGCGTCAATGTAAGGTATGCGCGCGGTTGGTGGTGAGGAATGCAAGAATGCTGGACGTACCGACACGGCACCCCTTGATCTTGGCGATCTGGCCCACCACCGACCCAACAGCTGTTGTTCGTCCAAGGAGAGTCATGAACGCTCGAATACGCGGCACGACGCTCACACGGCACACAACACGACACGACACGACATGACACGTACCGCCAGCAGCGCCAGAGACGAGGACGGTCTCACCGGCCTTGGGCAGACCAACGCGCAGCAGGCCGAAGTAAGCGGTGATGCCCGTCCCGCCCAGTACCTGCACACCAAACGAAATGTGTTGAGTTCAACCCAACTACACCACCCACCCACCCACCGCCGCCGCCGCCGCCGCCAACACCGCTAACACCACCGACAAGACCAGCTCGCGTACGCCGAGGAACAGGGTGGGGGCAAAGCCGGGGACCAGCTTCTCCCACCCGCCGCGCTTGCCGTCAGCCACGGCGTACTTCTGCCAGCCGCCGATTCCTGCGCGCACGTGCGGCGTGGTGGTTAGGCCAGCGCCGGGCCGGACGCTCCGACACGCGCACAGCAGTGTGGTCTCCTCAAGGCCGCGGGCGCGTACCGGACACAAGGTCGCCCACGCGGAACTTGGGGTTCTTGGAAGCAATGACCTGCACACGTGCACGTGTGTCGTTAGAGCGTGTGCGCACACGTGTGTGTCAAAGCGCACGCGCACATGCGCTTACCTGACCCACGGTCTGCCCGCGCATCACGTCACCCAGCTTCACCGGCGCGATGTACGACCTGATGGAACGCACGGCGAGAAGGTAAGCGTCAGCGCATGAAGAGTCCAAAGCAAACGGCGCGGCGGAGGTGCGGGACGCGTACTTGACGTCGTTCATCCAGCCACGCATGGCCGGGTCGAGAGACAAGTACACGTTCTTCACCACAAACTGCGGGCGATTCAATTCAGTTTTTATTTTTATTTATAAATAAATAGAATGTACAAAGGGAGAAAGGCATCAAACAATAAATAAAATATATAATTTATATATCAGTACATTAAAAAAGGTACCTGGCCGTCGGCGGGTTCGGGGATGGGTTCTTCGACGATCTTGAAGAGGGAGGCATCGGGCATGCCCGTGCCAGGGCGCTTCACCAAAAGTACCTTCGTGTTGCTGTCGCCGTTCATCTTCTTGGGTGGTGTCTGTGCAAACGTTGTCCGCGTTGCCCCTCTCACGTTGTTGTTTGGGCGGACTTGTTGCTTTCCCAGATGAAATGTTCCGTGTTGCGGAAAAGCTGCTTTTCTTTTTGTCTCGCTGCTCTGGTTGGGTGGCTTGTTTTGGCCAAATTTCTAGAAATTCCGTCGAAGAATATTTTGGCATGCGTGGAATGCAACTCCATACCGCCCAGCGGTCTGGTATGAAGTTTTTGGCATGCGTGGAATGCAACGCCGCAATCCGGGGATCTCGCGAGCTGAGATCTACCCATGAAGATCAGAGGGGCTAGGCAGCGAGCTGGAAGGAGACGCAGCCAGACGATATCAATAAAGAACCGAGAGGAAACCCAGGAGATGGAAGGTAACGTTACTAGAACTGGGAGAAGAGCTGTTTGTATTGGATTTCATGGTTTTAGGAGGTGAGATGCAACCAGAGAGATGTCGTGGGGGCCATGGGCTCACGTCGCTGGCGAGGAGCCGTGGTGGTCGTCTCCGCCTCCTTCCTGCTGGTCACGGATATCGTCAGCCTGCAGGATGTGGAAGTCCCACGACCGTGGTCGCTCCTCTTGCTCCTTCTTCTCTGGTGGGCTGTTGTTCTTCGCGTCTTCGCGACCTCGCCTGCCGTCGTCTTCCTTTTCTCCTTCTCTCCCCTTCGTTCTTCGCTTTCGCTTTCGTTCTTTCGTCGTGTTCGATCCGTCGCTTTCGCTCTTCTGTCCGTCCGTCGGCGCTGAGGCCTTGCGCTTGGCCCGCGATCTGATCCACTGCTGCGGCGGAGACGACGACGGCTGCCTCTCCGCCCCACCGCTCTCTCCGCTTTCAGCATCGCCCGGCTTCATGCGCTGGAGGAACTCCTGCCACCGCTTGACGCGCTGATGGCTCCGTCGCTGCTCGATCTGCTTCGTCCACATCTGGAGGCACTTGTCGTAGGACATGTCCCCGCTCAGCGCCGATGGTGGCGCTGTCTCCTCGGGCCAGGCCCCGTCTTGTCCCCGACTGCGTCCGTAGTGGGCCGAAGGAAGCGCTCCCGGAGCGGTCATCGGGGGCGATGGCAGCCGTGCGGCGGGCGGTGAGGTCGAAGAAGGCGGAGCTGCGGCCGAGGGCAGCAGAAGCAGTGGCGACGGCGGGGCGGAGAGGGAGCCGTACGGTGATGAAGAGGAAAACGATGAAGAAGACGAGAACGACGACGAAGAGGAGTAGGTGGACATCGACCAGGGCGAGGGCGGGGAAGGGACTCGCGCGCTCGGGGCCGTTGCGGCCGCTTCGGCGATCGCCCCGCGGCCTCGATTGCTGCCACGGCCAACGGAGCTTGGGCTTGTCACGTGAAGAAGCCGCACGTGGGGCGAGGTCGGGAGAGAATTGGAGTCGGCCGCAAGCTCGCTCTTGTTGGTGCTGATGGTGGTGCTGGAGCTGGAGCTGCTGCTCGTTCCCGGGTCTGACCAAGAGGTGCGTCGTCGTATCTGTTGGTGGCGGTGCTGCTTGATGGTCTGCAGATGGGGCCGCCGGGGACGAAGAAGAGAGGACGTAGAAAGAAAGATGAAGATGAAGAAGTCGAGGTGGCGTCTGCTGGCGAGTCATGACGGAGGTGGGACAGGAGTCGATCAGACGAAAGGGCCGAGTGGACCCAGCCTGGGCCTTTGGTGGAGGCCTCAGGCAATCTTTCGCGTGTCCACTCCCCGAGCGGGCGCGGCGGTGAAGGTGGATGTGTTATGAAGGCCAGCGTGCCCTTGCGGTGGCCGCCCCGAAGGTGAGCCTCTCGCTGGCTGTGGGGATCCTCCTCCTGCTGAGGCTGCGCTCGAGTGAGATCGATCTCCTCCGAGTTCGAGTGGTGGTCGAGTCGCGGTGGTCGCTCGTGCCCACGCGCATCTGGCTCTCGATGGGCTCTGTCCTCCTCAGAGGCTTCGCCGACCTCCTTCTCCTCGTTGAGGAGGAAGTAGATGGACGAAGTCCGTCTGTCTCCCTTCATGGCGGCGGTGGCCGAACGGCCAGCGGCGGCCAACTCGTCGCCTGTCGGCGCGACGAAGCTCTTTTCTTTTCGTTCTGGCTTCTTCTCCTCGTTTACCTTTACCTTGGGGTGTCTCGGGGAGGGTTGTTGAGGCCGAGGGTGGGATCCGACGTGCTACGCGTACAGTCGGTGCCTAGGAGTTGTTGAGTCGACGTGAGTGGTGAGTGGGCGTGTTGTAGTGGTTGTATGGTGTCTCTGGTAGGGATCCCTGGTGGTGGGATGGTGACCTTACTTTTGTTGTAGTAGTTGTGTTGTAGTGCGTGGCCAGCGGTGGATGGACTTGGCCGAGGTGTGGGAAGTTGGGAAGAATGGAGGGTTGCTTAAGCGTGGCTCTACTAGCTGCCCGCTCTCTCTCACTCGCGCTCTGCGGCCTCTTGCCTCCGGTTTGACTCCTATCACAGGCCCACGACCACACGAGCTCGACACACACACGCCCCTGCTGGCACGACAGGGATGGCTGGGGCTGTGGGTTGTGTGGATGGGCGCGGCAACACTGAGACCCGGGCCAGGTTGCCAGGGCGCAGACGCGCATGTGCACGACAGGACGGTTGATGAATGCCTGCTCCCCCTGACTCTTCCGCCCCTTCTGCTTCCTTTCCCGAGAGGGTGGACGTTAACGTTACATCTCCTCACCTCCCTCAGCTCACCAGCACTGCGTCATCTGGCCCGTAAGCCAGAACGTGGTTGGGTCGGACGGCTTAGACCGCGACTGACACACATCGCGGCACGTTGCCATCTGTGGGCCGACCTTACCGGTGGTCTTACGATGAGGCGCCGCTGACAAGTCACGTGACCGCGGTAGCACGTGTGCGAGCCCGTCGGCCATCCGCTTCCCGTCATTGGGCTTCTTGTCGACGCTGGTGCAAGGTCGTTGTCGCATCGCCAACCAATTGTAGTTCCAACCTGCCACTCGCACCCACGGAACCCTCAACTTGCCTCCTTCTTTTCCTCGTCTCCTCCGCTGTCGGGCGCTCGTCGCCCCTCCGCCCGACCTGTCTCTTGTCCTGCGGTCGCCCGACAGACGTCAACCGCCCCCCCCCGCGCGGACTGGCATGTCGCCTTGGTCCAGCTGGCTAAGATGCCAAGCTTTTGTTTTTCTTTCCCTGTGTGGCAAGCCAGAGACGTGTTTCCAGAAGAGCAACCTGCTGACAGCACATGTGTAGCATTCCAATAGCATTTCTTTTTCTTTTCTCTCACTTTTCCTACCACACTTTTGATTTTCGTTTTCCTTTTCGCTGTGTGGATATAATCCCTCGCACCTGAAGGGCCGGCAGAAGAGCACGAGTTGATGCATGCAACCGCCAGCGGGGTGAATTTTGAATCGAACAATTATTCATCTCCGCCTTCGCATCGACCCTTGGCTAGGAGCCATTAATTGTTGCAATAATTCGATTCGAAAATTGGAAGATTAGGAAGTAGAGAGCAAGAGCAAGAAGATGGGAGAGGAGCAGTTCTGCCGCGAGCAGTTCTCGGATAGCCAGATTCACGCGCTGACGGTGTGCACGCTGGTGGCGTCGCTCCTGTCCGTCATCGGCTCCTCGTTCATGCTCGAAAACTTCTTCCTCTACGACAAGGGCCGCAACCCGCTCACCAAGCTCGTGGCCTGGCTCGCGTTCGGCGACTACCTGACGGCCGTGAACAACATCATCACCTCCATCATGCTCCTACACTACCCGGACCTCTTCGGCTGGGAGGTGTGCATCGTCATGCGCGCGTGGTTCCAGATCGCGGCCGGCAGCACCTGGTGCTACACCTCGGTCATCGCCTACTTCCTCTATCGCTTCATGGTCAGCCGCAACACCAGTACGTAGCCGCACACACATATCGCACACCGCACGACACACACCGCACGACACACGCTGACATGTGAGCGTGTAGCGTGGGTGAGCTGGCCGTTGTGGATCGCGTTCCACTTTGCCAGCTGGGGCGTGCCTGCGGTGGGCGTCGTGGTCATGATCGCCGGCAACTTCGTCTACAAGTATTTTATGACCTCCTCGTGCTTCTTCAATGTGTTGCTGACGCTGGTGTGGTGATCTGATAGATCGCCGAACACGGGTCTGTGCTACCCCTCGAGCCGTGGCACATCATCCTGTGGTTCATCCCGATCATCATCTCGTTCGCGTGGATGCTCCTGTGCTACACGGGCATCTTCTACAAGGTGTGTCGCTCCGGAGCGAACTCAGGTAGACACTCCCTGAACGTTGCTCTCGATCCCGGTAAAACTCACCTCGCCTCACCTCACCATCACCATCCGTCCTTGCACTACGCTCACACGACACGACACGACACGACACGACACGACACGCGACTATACATAACAGTGAGGCAACCAAATGAAGACGCGGAGGCTGTGCTGTTGGTGTCGAAGGACGACGACAAGCGCGTGCAATTCCGTCACGTCGTGATTCGATTCTCGTTCTACATCCTCGTGTTCTTCGTCTGTTGGTTCTTCGATGTCATCACCTACTTCATCCTTTTCTTCAACGACAACTGCAACGTCTACGCCTTCACCTTCGGCTACACCCTGTTCAGAAACCTGCAGGTGCGCGCATCCTTTCTTTGTGTGTCGTGTGTCCCGTGTGTGTCCCGTGTGCGTCGTGCGTCGCTGACTGGGCGCGTGTTGTGTGTGGTGTATCCAGGGTATGCTGGACTGTCTGGTGTACGGCATGACGAACTTGAAGATCCGACAGCGATTCACCCACTCCATCCTGTCGGCCATCGTATCGACGTGGGAGCTCCTGCTCGCGCCCGTGCTCGTGCTCCCGGCCTTCATCGCCTACACCAGCAAGCTCCTCCAACCCTACCTCAGTTCCGATAAGTACGCACACGCACCACCGCACACGCACACAGGGAAGAACATACTTTCGCCATCGGCCGATTGGACTTATCACCGCACACGCACACGCACCACCGCACACACACGCACGCAACTAATCTCGGGTGGTGACAGGTCGGACAAGATATTCGTGTCCATCAACGATGATCTGATGAAGGAGCACAGGAAGGCGGACAGGAAGAAGTACTTCTACTCCACGCAGCTGCCCGCGCGCTACTACGGTGGCGACGACCAGCCAGCGGAGACGTGGGAGGAGCGGGAGGCGCGGAAGGCGGCGAGGCGACTCCACGACGAGGCGGAGGCTGAGAAGAGGGAGAAGAAGATGAAGAAGAAGATGAGAATGATGAAGGAGCGAGAGGAGGAGGGTAAGCAAGGCGGTGGAGAGGAGGTGGAGCTTGGAAGAGGAGGAGAGGAAGAAGGACGACGGGACAAGCAGAGGAGAGGACCTGACGGACGACGATTGATCCCAGCGTACTACTTCAACGGCGAGCCCTCGCCCAACGAAAGGAAGAAGAAGCAAGAGCAGGCCGAACAGTCGGGCGGCGAGAAGAAGGAAGATGATGTGGAGGATCAGCGAGCAGGCGAAAAGGCGGACGACGATAGAGGAACATCCACAAGAGACTGAGCCATTTGCAGCTCTAATCTCTTGCCAGAGAGAACATTTTTGAACGTAGAGCTGAAGATGAATTTTAAATGAAAGGCTGTATTCGTAGTGAAGCCTCATCTGCAACAAGATGTGGTGTAATTTGTACAAAGAAATGCAGATAATGGAAAAAATTAATCGTCCATCACTTCAACGTCCTTGGCTCTCTTGAGCGCTCGGTTCAGCCTCTGGATGAGCTCGGACTTAGTGCCAGCGGTCGATTTGCGTCGTTCTTGCAGCTCGCGCCGCAGCTCGGCCATGCTCATCTGCTCGGTNTCGCGCGTGACCTTGACCTCGCCCTGCAGATCGTGCAGAGAGAAGCAGCTCATACCGCCAGCCTCGTCGTCGTCTTCATCCCATTCGAGCACCTCCTCCACGATCATCGTGTCGCCCTTCCTCGCCTTGGGTGCGATGGGGCTGATTGGGACGCGCGCGGCCGTTCGCGATGAGCTTCGGCTGACGATGCTCGCCAGGTTGATCTCGGGCGCCTCGTCCTTCTCGAACGTGAGCACCTCGGTCGGTTGGGAAGACACAAAGCCCACCCTCTTCCTCGCTTTGGCCTTCTTCGCCTCTACCTTCACCTCCGTCTCTTTTTGTAAGTCTCATCCTTTACCTCTTCCTTCATCTTCAAATTGGTGTAGCGTTTCGAATCAGCCGGGCAATTCTCCTTGTCGGCCGTAGATTTCTTCATGGCGCTTCGCCTGGCGACTCTACGTGTGGAAGACATCCTGTTTCGCGCGATGGTTGAAGCGATCTTGCAGATGGAAGGAGTCCTGGTTCAATCAATCAATCCAAAACCGAACGCTATTGCCTGCATTGCCGTTGCGTGTTTCCCGCTTCTTTTTTGGCGCTAAAAGCCGTTAGGGGAAAACGCAAAAAGTTGATTTGGCTGTTTCGTCTTGTCTCAGTCCGTGTACAGGAGAGTGTTGGCGTCGGGGCACAGAAGAGCATCGTTGGGGTTGAAAAACTGCTTCTTCTTGGCCCACGGCGTAACAAGACTGGTGTTGAGTGCGCATCGTCAATAGAAAGGCTCGGGTCAGCTCATGCTGAAGAAGAAGAAGAAGATGTGGAGTGTGGGGCGAAAACCTGTTCCAAATGGAGATGGCGAACTTCTGGTGGGCCAGCAGAGAGGGATGGAAGCAATCGAGGGTGGACAGGTAGCTCGTGTCGGGAATGATCACTGTGGTAACAAGAGTTTGGGCTCAGCTCAACGACCATCTGCCATCAGTGTAAACACCGTGACAGAAAGGGCACACGTACAGTTGGCCGTGAACGGCTGGATCTGGACAGCGAACGTCTGCGATGGTCTGGCCTTCCAGTCCGCGGCGATCTTGTAGATACGCTTGTTGAACTCCACCAGAATCTGGGGGTGATCACAGTGAGCAGTGCTAGTGGCCGCGCAATGGATTGTGTGCCGTGTGTCGCGCTTGAATGCATACCGAATCAATGTAGGTCCGCTTCTGCTGGTTGGAGTCGAAGGCACAGATGCACTCAAAGGGGAAAACGTTGTGGACATTCGCGCAGTAAGAGCTGCTCTGTGAGATCCAGTAGACCTGGGCGCACACCGTCCTCGTATCAGCTGTGCGTGCAAAAGAAAGCGTGCGTGGCGAGAGGCATGCGCGAGTACCTGAGAAACGTTGAACATGGGCAGAATGTTGAAGAACAGACGAGGAATCTTGAGGCTCGCCATCTGGATCACATTTCGCAGATTCTACACTCGGGCGGGGAAGTGTTAGTTTGGGAAATGATCCGCCAACAGACGTACCGACACAGGAGCGTACCCGCTCATAGTAGTCGCCGACACTCGAAATAGGAGGGAGCTCCTTGTTGAAGCAGAGGCCGCACACATCGTTGGCCTTTGACAAAGTGGAACGAAGGTCAACATTCAAGTTGTTAAGTAATTGTAAAACTAAAAAGTAATATATGTATATGTAGGAATGACAGGCACGTACACCGATGATGAGGTTGAGGAACTTCCAGTCGTTGGCCATATCGATCTTCGGGTTGGCGGCGATCTGGGCCAGCAGGTAACTACAACCAATAACACCGCCCGATCAGCAGTGAGCGCAGCAATTCGCTGCTGTCAACATTCACACAAAGCGGCACGACGAGGGAGTACTCGAGCTGGCTCTGCAGGTCGATCGCTCCGGCGTTGCTCTGGGCGGCGTTGAGCCTGTCCTGCTCGGGGTGGTGGTCCTGCGAGACCGACATCAGCAACCACCTTAAGGAGGCTGAGAGCGGTGCGTGCACTGTACCCATCCGGCCCACTCGAGGAAATGAGCGCCGACCGAGGCGCCGATCACGTCGGGGCTGTAGTGCTGGAAAAAGTTGGGCAGCGTGATTGCGCCCGGGTCGCCGCCCACGAAGCCGCTGAGCCCTCGCCACTCGTCCAGGAGCGAAATGGTGCTACGGCCCATAATGGCGAACCCGGCCGTCATGCTGTCGCCCATCGCCATCACCACCTTGATGTCCTGCGATCGTGGTAACACCCCCCAAACACCTTTCGCGTCAGCCCAAACAGTGCGGCATCAAACGACAAAGAGCGAAGAAGACAAAGATCGAAAGCGAAAGCCCGGGGGGGGGGCGATACGGAAGGACGCAGGTCGTGCACGCTCGTGGCATTGCGCGGCGGGAGCGGAGGGCACCTGACCGACCGTTGGGGCGATGTGAGACCTGCACTGTGGATGAAAGTAACATACGAAAAGAAAGGGACATCACTTACACGTCGATAGGGTTGGTCCTCGGAGCCGCCGGCCGTTGAAGCGCCCCGACAGCGATAAAGCCGCCCACCAGCACCAGGGAGAAGAGGACGACCCAACCGTTCATCTTCGTCTTCGTCTCCGTCCTCCTCGGCGATTTCGTTCTCTTGAAAACTGTTTATGATCTTTCCCACCGAAATTAGGTCCGATAAATGATATTTATTTTTATTCACACGATTATTAAATAAATAATGTGTCCTACACAACGTAGAGGGCGTTGGGCTGCATTACGTTGGTCTCCTGGAACAGCGCGTTCTCGCCCACGACCGTGGCCTGGCCCGAGTCGAGGGCCGACACCGGCAGGTCCGGGGCCGGCGGTTTGTTGAGGTACCGGTAGAGCAGGTAGCCGGCGCCCGCCGCAGCTCCGCCCAAGCCCGCCAGACCCGCGAGGCCGGCCAAGCCACCGGCCACCCCGCCGGCGATCGCCCCAGCGTTCGAGGAGTCGCCGCCAGCCGCCGGAGATGCAGATGCCAACGGAGTGAGGGGCGCAGAAGCCGAGGGCGACGTGGAGGGAGAAGCCGATGGTGACGATGAAGGCGATGGTGATGAAGGAGAAGCCGGCGCTGAGGGTGAAGGCGACGATGAAGGCGATACCGAGGGCGAAGCTGAAGAGTAAGCTGAAGGCGAAGCCGACGGGGAAGATGCCGCCGAGGCAGGCGAAGAAGAGCCGGAGGGCGTAGACGAGATGGACGTCGAGGGCAGGGGTGAGGGCGTGGGCGTGGGCGTGGGCGTGGCCGGTGACTGCGCGGCGGAGCACGAGGCCGGATCGGGGTGGTCGGCCAGCACGTAGGGCACGTCGGTGCACTTGGAGCAGATTTGTCCGCCCTTGAAGACCATCGACCCCGTGGCCAGGAGTGTGGCCTCCGACGCGGTGATCCAGAAGGTGGCGTCTCTGCACGAGTCGAGGGTGTTGAGCTTGACGAGACCCCCGCCGCCCGGGCCGTCCCAGGCGCTGTAGTGCTGGGGGCAGTTGCCCGCGCCGCCCTTCGGCTCCCAGTCGTCGGCACAGCCCGAGACGGTGATATCCCGGTCATTGCCCAGCCTGGCGTCGAAGGTGGCAGTGGTGAGTTTGGGGGGGGGTGGCTATTTGGTAGTAGTCTAGCGACGTACTGGAAGCCGAAGTTGGAGATGCCGGGCTGGCCCTTGATGGTGTACTTGACAGTGTAGACGCAGGTGGAGATCTGCCACGCCTGCGCTGTGATTGTATAGGGAGAGCAGCCTACGCACAAGCGACCTCGGTAAGTGTGGTACAGGAGATCAAGAGCGGGTAGACGTACTGTAAGTGAGCGCCGGGTAAGGCTTGATGTAGGTGGTGGGGTCCTGCCCTTGAGCTCCCATCACCAGCAGCAGCAAGGACGAAGCCGCCACCAAGAAGAAGTCGTTTGTGTGCATGGTGGAGTGGGCAGGATGGATTGAACTAGGAGTGAGTGGAGAGGCTCAAACTCAGTGATGAAGTGCCTAGGACGAACTTGGCCATTGTGCAATGGCCTGCCGTCATCACCACCAACCTATCGGTGTGTGAATTGGGCCGCAGCGGTTGCGGCACAGGTCACTCGGACCTATCAGACCGCCGACGCCATTACCTATTTTGATGGTTGCACGCCACCAAACCCGGTGATCGCCAAATTCGAACCAGGAGGTCAGCCTCTCGCCACGAAGCTCAAACCGAGGCCACACGTACTTTTCACTTGGCAAACATCGTGCGCAGAGGATAAAAGGCGACAATAAAAAAATAAATGATATTAGAACAACGCAAAAAACTCCACAAAATTAATCAATCAAAATCAAATAATCAATTACAGATAAAATCAAAGAGGGAGAGAGGAAGTGCTCACAATGGCGGAGGGTGCACCGGTGGAGGGAAGTATTCGGTGGCACAGCGGCACGGGCAAGTGGCAGCAGAACTGGTTCTGCCTGAAGACCGCCCCCGAGTCGGGAACCGCCCCCTCGTTGGTCTACTCGAAGGCGCGCAGCACTCCCACGCTGGGCTCCATCTCGCTGGCCGTCCTCCACAAGGTCACGCCCGCAGACGGAGCAGACGTCTCCGGCTGGAAGCAAGGTACTACTCTTTATTACTTTTTTAAATAAAATTAAGCAAAAATATAAGAATGTAAAAATAGATAAATAAATACAACAAAAGAACAGCTGTCATTTATTCTTTTTTTTTATTAATGTTTTATTTTGTTGGCTGCCAGAGTACCAGGGGCGGTGCGTGCAGCTGGAGGTGGGCGGCGAGGATGGCGGGGCAGCGTCGGCGATCCACTACCTGCTGGCCGACAACCGAGGCGAGATGCTGCGCTGGATGAAGGCGCTCTCCAAGATCAAGGGCGCGCAGCGCAAGGAGAGCCTGCGAACCACCTTGGCGTCGGTCTCCAAAGGGGCACCGTCGTCGTCATCGCCGTCGTCGCCCACCACCTCCACCTTCAACCCCGACAACACGCCACCTTCGCTGTCGCCGCCGCCCGAATCCCGGCCTCGCGCGGCATCACAAAGCTCTTCGTCGCCCGCGCCAGCCGCGTCTCAGCTCGCAAACCCCGCCACCAACGAGGCTGGGGCGCGTCCGCTGTCAGGTATCCTCTCAACACGATCATCAATCTTTATGTGTTGTGTGTGTGTGTGTGCGCGTGTGTGTGGTGCGCGCGCGTGTGTCATGCCGTGCCGTGTGTTGTGGGGTCTAATTGGGTGATTTACGACATTCAGTACGAGCCAGGCGCCAGGCAATTTTGCTCGACAAGCCGCTCAGGTTCGGTGCCCAGGCGGGCGACAGCCCGGCCCAAGATGCGCCCGACACCAACAACAAGGACCCAGCGGCGACGGCAGCGGCGACAGACACCGAGCAGACGAAAGCTCTGTCGACGGCCAAGACCAAAGTGCAGGAACTCGAGGAGAGGCGAAGGCTCATCACCTCCCGCGCCTCCGTGTCGATCTCCGCCGCCCCGGCCGCGGCGGCTGCAGCGACGACGAATGCGGCAGCCGCGGACGGCAGCGGCGGCGTGGAACCTGACAGCTCTTCGGCGCAGCAGCGGCTCCGGGAGATGGAGCTCAAAGCCGAGCAGCGCCGAAAGCAGGCCGAGGAGCTGGTGGCCAAGCGCCAGGCCGCCGCCCTTATGCTGCAGCAGCGAAAGGCCGCGTCGCGCGTCGCGCCTGCGGGCGCCAATGCCGACGCGGCCGACAGTGCGGAAAAGGAGGAAACAGAGACGAAGGCGGAGAAGGAGGCCTCTGGCTACCACAGCTGGAAGGCGAGGAGGAAGAACGAAGACGAAGCGCAGCACAACATGCAGAAGATGCTCGTGGGCGAGCTCCAGGCCAAGATCCTGCCCAAGGCCCAGCAACAGCAGGTGGAAGCCTCCGGCGTTGACGACAGCGAAAGCGACAGCGCCGACGACGACGACGGGAAGAGGGTCGAAGAGTCGAGCGAGCTGGCGTCGGCCGCGGCTGAGGAGACGAGTGGCGAGCGAGGCACGGGCGAGGGCGATGACGAAGGTGAGAGGGCGAAGCCGCAGGACGAAGCTGTGGCAGAGGTGCGGGAGCGCGATGAAGAGGAGAAAGAGCGGGAAAAGCGAGGTGATGAAGAAGAGGAGAAGGAGGAGCTTGAACAGCGTCAGCGCCAGAAGGAGGAGGAGGAAGAAAAGGAGAAGCGAAGAGAGGAAGAAGAGAGAAAGAAGAAGGAAGAAGAGCCGAGGAGGAGCGACAGAGGCAAGAAGAAGAAAAGCAGCTGGAGGAGAAGAGGAAGGAAGAAAGAGAAAGAGAAGAGGAAGAGGAAGAGCGAAAGCGAAGGCAGCAAGAAGAGGCGGAGGCAGAGGAAGAAGAGCGAAAGAGAGAAGAGGAGAAAGAGAAGCAGCTGGAAGAGGAGAGGAGGAAAGCAACAGAGGAAGAGGAAGAGCGAAAGCGACAGGCCGCCAAGGAGGAAGAGGAAGTGAAAGAGCGGCAAAGGCGAAGAGAAGAGGAAGCTGAGGAGGCGCGGCTGCAAGCGCAGCGGAAGGCCGAAGAAGACAAGCGAAAGGCCGACGAATTGGAGAAGGAGAAGAAGACGGGTGATGAGGGCAAGGCGACGGATGAACTTCTCAAGCAGCGCGTGGAGGAGATCGAGGAAAAGAAGAAGCGCATGTTCGAGCGAATGCGACAGCGCGAGAAGAACCGACGCGATAGCGGCTCCGCAGCGGCTGTGGGCCTCGTAGCGGCGGCGGCGCCCAAGAGCGAAAGCGGTGGCGAAGCCAAACTGGCAGAGGAAGCGAAGAACGAAGAACTCAAGCCGAGTGAAAAGAGCGAAAGCGACGAGGGTAATGAGCAAAGAACGAAGGAGCGACGGCAATCGGGCTTGTTCGCCAAACAGCCACCACCGGCCGCGCCCCAGCCCGAGCCACAGCCGAGCACCGCGGATGAGGCCGCAGCGGAGAGCGAGAAGAAAGAGGCGATGCGCAAGATGCTCGAGATGCTGTCCAAGCAGAAGGCTGAGCGGGCCGAGGAGCGCGAGCGGCTCAAGAAGATGCTCGAGGAGCGCAAGAAGAAGAAAGTCGAGGAGTACGCGCGCCTGAGGAGCGACAACCAATCATCACCTCCTTCGGGCGCCCAGGCCGGCAGTGCCGGTAGTGTCGACACCACGACCGCCGCGACCACCGCCACTGTCGACAGTGCGGACGAGGACCACCAACAGCAGCAGAAGCAGCGACAGCAACAGCAGCAGCAGCAGGAGGAGCTGCGCAAGCTGAAGGAAGAGATGCGAAGCATTCGAAGCACGATCGTGCTGCTCGACCGGGAGAGCGACACGCTCAACGAGCGCATCGCGCAGGTGCACGTCCAGGAGCTGCAGGAGCGGCGCGAGCGCGAGCGGCAGGCGCAGGAGGAGCAGAGCCGGCTCGAGCACGCCATGCGGGAGGAGATGATGCGCGCGCAGGCCCTCGAGGTCCTCCTCGAGCGCTACGTGCCGCTCCATACGCCCCACGAGGTGCGCCGGCACGAGCAGCACATTCTCGACGAGACGACCCACAAGTACGCCCAGCCAGCCACATTCCTGAGACGCGTTACATTCCTTGTCGCATTCCTCTCTTTTTTTGGTGTGTGGCTGACGCTTGGGGGGGGCAGTGCGGTGCTGGTCAACCTGTCGGGCATCCTGCTGGCGCGAGGCCGGTCACACGGGAACTGGTTCGCGCACGAACTCGGCCGGACCACCCTAGCAGACGGTTCCAATGACGCTCAAGTGCGTGTCGTGTGTCGTGTCGTGCGTGTCGTGTCGTGCCGTGTGCCGCTGCTAATTTGGCGTACAGATCGGGGAGGACGACGAGCGAGTGCTGCGGCTGAAGGGCGGCATCGTCGTCCGAAAGCGCGACAGCGCGAGTGAGTGGGATCTGCTCGTGCTGCCCGAAGGCGCAGTCATGCTCCTCGACCGCGAGCCTTCCGGCCTCAACAGCTCGGCCGTCTCCCTGGGCAACCAGGTCACTCCCTCTCTTTCATGCGTCTGTGTCGTGTGTCGTGTGTCGTGTGTCGTGTGTCGTGTTGACGTTTGGGAACACCTGCAGGAGCAGACGGACGAGACGCCGGCCACGACCGCCAGCGCTCCGCAAACCAGTGAGGATGACGGCGAGCAGGTGAAGCGGGTCTTCTTCAACCTCGCCGACGCGCCATCCGAACCGGACCACCTCAGTCCGGCCAAGAGTGCGCTCCCCGCACGTGTCGGTTGGTTGATTGATTTTAATTGATTGATTGGCCTATGACAGAGACGCTTCTGGTCGACCTTCGCCAAGCGGTAAACAACATCGTGGAGCACTTCTCCGCGGCCGGCTCGGATCAGCAGATGGCCGCGCTCGGCGAAGAGACCGCCAGCAACAAGGCCATCACTCGGCTGGTGCGCGGCGAACTCTGTACGTCTTCGCCTCGTGTGTGTGTGTGCGTGTGTGTCGTGCGTGTGCAATCTGCACTCACATGTGCCATGCGGGAATCGCAGCAACGATTCTGGCAAGGATCTTCGATGTCGGCTTCAAGTCGTGGAAGTTCTTTGGGGCGTACCACCTGTGGGACTTCCTCGAAGCCTACGGCCAGCAAAATGGTTCGGTCATAGACTAGTCCTAGTTTTTACACCACCACGCACCACCCACCCACCACCCACCACCAACGCACTCATGCACGCGCAGATTCGGTGCGAGAGCTCGCTGCGCTCGGCCTCCGCAATGCCATCAAGACCCTCAATACGAATGTCCGCATGGCCGAGAATCCCAACATCAAGTTCCGTGCTCTCATTTGCCATGGCCTCAAGTACGCGCTTCACGCCCTAAGACCGCGCGACACGCACGACACAACACTAACTGCGGACACACACACACACACACACAGTAACAAATACCTGGACGAGTGGGTATCGCTGCTGCTGGCGCACAACGGGCTGATGAACAAGTGGTACAACGACGAGTCCCTCATGCGCGACGCCAGGGCCAGCGAGTCGGTGATCAAGTCGCTCGGGCGCCTCAAGAACTTCCCGTTCGCGATGGACATCAATTTCGAGGTGCGGCCCGCAGTGGTGCGACGCATCGACAGCGAACGTGCGGCGGCGCAGCAGTCGCCAGGCCTAGTGCCAGCGCCGGCGCTTTCTGTCGACACTGCGCCGCTGGACGACGAGGCCCGGATGAGAATGCGCGGCGTGACCGGCGGGTCGGCAGCGCGCGCGGCTGCGGCTGCGGCCGCAGCGGCCCAGGTGTTGAGCGTGGGCGGCGGCGTGGACGCCAGCAACCGACGCCAGAGTGCGTGGGGCCGACCACGCAACAGCGAGCCGGTCGTCAACTCCGAACCAAAGAATGAAAACGAAAACGAACACGAACACGAAGCGAAAGCGACGGTGGCCACAACGACGACCGCAACCACTCCGGCCAAGGGCGTCACGCTGTGGGGTTCGCTGTGGGGCGGCGAACAGGGCCAGCAGCGCACCAGCGTCGACGCCGACGAGCTCAAGCGGATCGACAAGCGACGAGGCAAGGAGCGGGTGCGGGGCAGCAGCGACAGCGAGTTCTTGGACGAGTTGGACGAGGTGCCGCGGCTGGAGTTGGTCGACGAAGACTTCAAGATCGAGATCAAGGAAATCGAGCCAGGGCAGCCCGACCGTGGGTCGCCCGGCGTTTCGTTCTTCACCTCCTTCCTGGACCTGGCCAAGTCCATGGTCGACGACAATGACGACTGAAACATGGCATTGCCCACTTAATCTTGTCGACAAGCACACACGCTGCGGCCAGCCGCACAACCAAGTGTGTGCGGCCTCGTGCGGCGATCATCACAAAATTCTCTCTGCGGGTCTCTGCTGGCATTCTTGCTTTCCCAGACTACGTTACGCAGCTCGCATGACCGTCGAACCCAAGCCCAACACCTGCAGACAACGTCGATGGAGCTTAACAAGCACTTTCAAGCAGCTTGTGGTGTCTTTACACCGCAAGATGAAGAGGTGGTCATGAACGTGATAGGTGCGTAAAAAACACCTTTGTTTTAAATTTAAAACTTAAATTAGATAGTAGTATTCAAAATTTAGTATTTGAATTTGGATTTGAATTAGCTATATTTCAATTATGGCGGTTTAAAACATTCTAGAATGTACATGTTCTTTTAGTTAAATTTTTTTGCCGAAACCACATCTTCGGTGACACTGCAATGGTGGGCTGTGCAGAGGAACGGTCTTGGACGACGACGCCACCAGAAGCACAACTTAGGCGAGAATCAGGGTAGAACCCCCGACGTAGGTACAGAGTTAGGGGTGCCAGTGGTCCACCTCGAACGGTATGGACCATCTATGGATATGGGTGTGCGGGCCATCATGAACCACTGCCAGCCGCAAACGCCTGCGGCAAAGAGATTGCGGCCCGTCGGTGAAGCTGCACCTGCCCTTCAAATAGCGGAACACAGAAGCAGGTTGTTCATTATCCAAAGCTTCATCAGCAGCTTCATCACCAGCTTCATCAGCACATCCCATGCATTCTCCGCTCTACGCTTTCCTGCTGGTGGCTCTGGCCGCGCTGCTCTCGCTTGGGGTGCCAACTGTGCACGGTCAAGACCCGACCACCTACCTTACGGCCTACGAACCCAAAACCGTTACAAGTTCGTTGCTCTCTTCACTTCACTTCTCTTCACTTCTTCATTGTTTTTTTAAGTTGTGGTCAATCACATGTCTGATTCCTCTGTTTGCAGACTGCGGTGACTCGCCCTATACGATCATCGCGCAGGCGTGGGAGATCTCCCAGTGCGTCTACACGGTCAAGTACACCGTCCAGGGCAGGCCCGGCCTCTCCGACTTTGGCTTCCAGTACGGCTCTCAGAGTGCCCACACACAACCACTTCACCCTGTCTGCCAATCATCTGACATTGAATGCCACGTCATCATAGGCTGGGTACCGGCACCAGGTCGATCACCGTCACGGGCTGCACCACGACGTGGGTCAATAGCGGCGGCAACGGCAACGCGTGCTACCCAACCTACTCGGTCTGGGAGGGCGCCGGCGGGCTGATCAAGATGGACAGCGACTTGGGCTGCGGCCAGAACGCCACGTTCTGGATCACCTCGTCGGCCGCCACGCTGGTCCAGGGCGGCTCCGTCGCGTGGAAGGGCGGCCAGAACTGCTGGACCTGCGACAACGTGCCCTACGTGCTGGCCAACCACCCCAACCCGGACTCATGCCCAGCCCTTTCGCCTTCGCCCTCGCCCTTGCCCTCGGTCGACCACTGCCCTCGGCGTCGCCCGTGTAGTCGTGGCGCCGTCGCCGTCGCCCTCGTCGCCCTCCACGTCGCCCGAAGGCCCTCGCCTCGCCCTCCACGTCGCCCGAGGCTCTCGCTTCGCCCTCCACTTCGCCCAGCGTCAGCGACCCGTCTCCGTTGCCGTCAGAGTCGCCGTCGACCGTCACTGAACCTTCGGCGTCTCCGTCGCCGGTGGTTTTCGCCGAGCCGTCTCCTTCGCCTTCGCCGGCGGTGTTCAATGAGCCGTCGCCGTCGCCTTCACCATCTGCTTCGTCGTCGCCCACCAGCTCGCCCGCGCCGGGCGGCGGTGACTCGACCAACGCCGGAGCGATCGCGGGCGGCGTGGCCGGAGGCCTGGCTGGTCTGGCGGGCCTGGCGGCCTTGGGCGGAGCCGCGGCGGGCGGCGGCTACATGCTCTACCGCTGGATCAACCGGCCCGACACCCTGGCCGCACCGGCGTCGGCCCTCGACTCTAACGCTGCCACGGTCGTGGGCGACAACGCGCTGTTCCAGGAGAGCAACGTCATGCAGCCCAACGCCCTCTTCGTCGACGGCGTCTAGTCTCTCTCTTCGACTCAACCTGGTCATGTAAACAATGTGTATAATTTTTTATTATTATTATTCTTTTATTCCTTTTATAATGTGAGCCTTTGAGATTTACATTAAATCAATCAATAAATAAATAGATAAATCATCGAAGGGGCTTTGGTGGCTGGTCGTCTTCGAACAGCTGTTGGCTCTGGCGGAGCAGGTTGTCGCTGACCTTGGCGCCGAGCTTGAGCACGCAGGTGCGCTCGAGCACGTGGCCCGTGCGGGCGTCGATCAGCCACGCCACCACCGACCCGCAGCAGCCCACCAGCGCAAAGGCCACCAGCACCTCCACACGCATCTGCGAGACCACCGTCACCCCCTCTACACCATCACACCACACGCAGCGTCAGCACACCGCACACACCACCGCACACACCGCACACACGCAGACGGTACCGAGGTGGCTGGCTTGGGACGCGTCGGCGATGAAGTCGGGCACGAGGCCCAGCAGGAAGGGCGAGAGGAAGAGGGCGGCGTTGAGGGCCGAGGTGAGGAGCCCGTAGGCGGAGCCCACCAGCTTGGGCGGCACGATGAGCGCGATCGACGGGAACACGGCGGCGGGGAGAAGGCCGTGGGTGACGCCCAGCAGCAGGCACCCGGCGAACGGCGTCAGCGACGTGAAGAGGAGCAGGCTGTAGGCCACCACCGGCAGCACCGTCGCCACGAACGTCAGCGTCACGCGGTGACCTGCGAGTTGGTCGGCCCGTGACGTCAGCTCCACATAGCGATCATGCCCACACGACAAGAGAAGGGCCGGCGTACCGTAGCGATCGATGATGAAGCCGAGGGGCACCATTACCAGGGCGGCCGCCAAGTAGAGGCTCGCCGTCACCCGCGACGCCTCCACATCAGCCATGCCCCATTTCTATTGAGTGTCAATCGTTGCCTTCTGTGCGTATGTGTGCGTATGTGTGCGCGTGTGTGCGTGTGTGCGTGTGTGCGTGTGTGCGTGTGTGCGTGTGTGCGTGTGTGCGTGTGCGGTACCTGTTGGAGGAATTCGCTGGAGAAGGAGATGAAGGGGAGCACGGCGCCGTAGGTGCCGAAGGTGGTGAGCACCAGTGCCCAGAAGAGGGCCGGCAGGTGGAGAATGCTGGCCCAGCTGAACTCCTCGCCGTCGGCGCTGGCCGGCTGGAGGTAGGCGTCGTACCGCTTGTCGACCGCCACGAGCCCGACAGCGGCCGCGAACGAGACGCCGACCAGCACCGCCGTGGCCGCGAGCACCGCGAAGAAGCCCCAGTGGGCGTAGATCTCCGGCACGGCGAACATGGAGACGAAGGAGCTCAACCGGAAGGAGAGCATACAGACGGCGAGCGCCATGGACAGGGTCACCTTCGTGTCGTGCGAGTACCATCGCGCCAGCAGCGCGTCCTGCACCACTGCACCGTCGTTCGGTGAGTGTTGTCCACACGCACACGACACACACGACACGACACGACACGACACGACACGACACGACACGACACGACACGACACGACACGACACGACACGACAGACACGACACGAACCTGATACGCATTCGGTGCCGAGGCCGTAGAGGAGGCGGCCGGCGAGGAGGAAGGCGTAGGTTTGGCCCAGGGCCAGGAGGTTGCCCGCGAGCCGGCGAACAGGAGGCAGCAGAAGTTGACGCCCAGGCTGTCCACCATCACCTGCGCTCCACCGTCAACGACATTGACATGAGTCACACACGACACGACACGACCAACGACCCGACCAACGACCCGACCAACGACCCGACCAACAACCCGACCAACGACACGACCAACAACACGACACGACACGACACACAGAGGCTTGGTGCGCATACCCCGGCAAAGAAGACGGCTACGATGTTGGGGAGAGCGTAGGCCGAGAACAGAAACCCGAGCTGCCCATCTGTGAACCTGTGTTGTATCGTGTCGTGTGTGACACAGAAACTCGTCAATCAATTCTACATTGTCAAGAGGCGCTCGTGTCGTGCGGTACCCCATGTCAGTCTTGAGTTGTGTGTAGAGGGCGCCGACGGAGGAGTAGCTGAGGGTGGGTCCAAACACGAGGAGGAAGAGCAGCAGCAGGGCGCCCAGGCGCACGGCCAACGGCGGCGTGGGCGCAGGCTCGGCCGGCGACGACTTGGACGCTTCCGGGTCGCTGACTGGCGGCGTACTGTCGGTGTGGTGCAGCCAGTTGTCCCAGAAGGTGGCGCCCTCCGAGTGCGGGATGCGGGGCACCCGGAAGGGGATGTGCACCGCGTAGTCGACCCAGGGGTGCATCAGCCCGAGGCCGTGCTCCTTGCCCGACGTCTTGTCCGCGCCCAACAGCATCGTCTTCTCTCTCTGCTCCTCCATCTTCTTCTTCTTCTTCTATTCCAATATGTGTTCTAAAATTCTGGATCGTCTTCTTCTTGGTGGCTTTGTATGCTACACGAAACAAGGAATGGCCAATCGGAAGCTAGCATGAAGAATATGCTGCAATTATTCGATGATATTTCAGTCAGAAATGAAAGAAATTTCGTGTAAACCTGTTGGGTTGGAATTCAATTCAAATATTCACAGTGGCGGGAGGACTACGTTGTCGATGAGGCGGGTGGAACCGAGACGAACGGCGGTGGAGAGGAAGGCACCGGGTCCCTTAGGGTCGATGTAGTCCAGCTCGTGCCCGAACCCCGCATCGGCGATGCTCACGTACTGCACCTCGGGCCGCGGCGGACCAGCCGCCCACCAGTCCTCTCCCTTCTCCAACGCCTCCTTCGTCGCCCTGGTCAATCACCTGATGAGTGAGCTTCCACCTCGACACTATCAACGGCAACACAACACGCGAAACGACACGACACGACACACACGACACGACACGACACGCACTTGATGATCTCTTGTGCGCTGCGTTCCCCGTCGAGATAGCGGCTCCGTCCAGCGCAGAGGGCCTTGTACAGGATGGGCGCCCTCTTTCGCTCCTCGGCCGAGAGATACACCTGCGGCACACATTGGCAACGACACAACACATCAATGGTCAGCTCGCGCTGACGGATTCGCACTCGCTACTATGCGAGGGGTGAGGGCAAAAGGTGTGGATGTGCAACGCACGTTGCGCGAGCTCATCGCCAGGCCGTCGGCCTCGCGCAGGGTGTCGCACACCACCACCTCAAGCCCGAAGTTGAGGTCCTCCACCAACCGCCGCACCGCCACGCACTGCAGGGCGTCCTTCTGCCCAAAGTAGGCGCCTGCAACGTTCACCAGAAGATGTAGTAGAAGAGAAGAAGATGTCAAATGTAGAATGTAGAAGGTGTCAGCCGTGAGGGTCTTGAAAAAAAAATGTAGGATGAAGAGGCGTACGGTGGGGCTGGGTGATGTTGAAGAGCTTGGACACGACGGTGGCCACGCCAGAGAAGAACTGAGGCCGCGCGTGGGCCTCGGAGGTGTCGGCCATCAGCCCGATATCCACACGCGTGCTGAAGCGGTCGCCGTAGAGCTCCCGCACCGAGGGGGCGAACACCACCGCCTCGACGTCGCGGCCGCCGTCCCCCTTGGGCAGCAGCCGCTGCGCTCAAGCCCTGCTCGATGGCCAGCACGTCCTTGGCCACGTCGCGCGGGTACTTGTCAAAGTCTTCGCCCACCCCGAACTGGGTTGGGTTCTGGTGGCATGCCCCCCCCCCCAATACAGAGATGAGCAAAGGAGAGATGGTTGAGGGAGAAGGGTGGTGGTCGTACGACAAAGATGGAGCAGAAGAGCGCATCGGAGTGAGGCAGAGCGTGGGAGATGAGGGAGATGTGGCCGGCGTGCAACGCGCCCATGGTGGGAACGAAACCCACGCGTCGGCCCTCGCACCTCCATGCCTCGCGCAGCGCACGCACCTCTGCCACCTCCCGCACCACCTTCACTCGCCTCTGCATGTCTGTTGTTTTTGTATTTTTGTATTTTTATCTTCTTTGTTTTATATGGCCTTTGCCACGTAGGCAAAGTAATGTTAAGATAATATGGTTTGCAGAAGGCAGGCAGTGCACAGACGTGCTGGGGCAAGGGGGTAGCCATGGAGCTAAAGTACTGCCAGGTGCTCGCAGGACTGCTGGCCAGCTGTTGGAATTAGCAAGAGGCAGGATTTGAACTCGCGCTTCGGAAGACGCACGACGTGGTTGCGGGGGCAGAAAAAGCAATAAACCAAAACGTCATGTCCGCCCACGCGAAGCTGCGCAAGCACTTCCCCGGTCTGTCTTCCGACGACGAGATCATCGAAGGTAACACTCCAAATTCTTTTGTGATGTTTTTTTTTGTAGCCCAACACGCATTTTTGGGGCTCGCTCCATCTCTCAATCTCGCTACACTCCAATCCATTCCAACAAGATTGCTCGTGCGCCTACGCGGAGAGCACGCATGGAGTGCCGCAGCAGGGTCACTTGTGGGTCACCTCCCACCATCTGTGCTTCCACGCCAAGATCCTCTCCCGCAAGACCCAGGTATTGCCCTAGCTCGTTGCCCTTTGCTATGCACAAAAATAGAAATAATAATAACTAATAATAATAAATATGAAAACAGAACATGTTCTTACCACGGCACGACACACGCGACACGACACGACACACGCGCTCGATAGATCCAATTGAGACTGGAGGACATCAAGATGCTGGAGAAACAGAACACGGCCTGCGTCGTGCCCAACGCCATGCTGGTCGTGACCAAGGACAACAAGAAGGTGCGGGCTTGCCGCCACCGCCACGGAGTAGTAGCGGTGCTGACAGAAACTATCATGTGTCGTGTCGTGTCGTGTCGTGTCGTGTCGTGTCGCGTTCTGTGGGTGCGTGTGCGGTGTGCGGTGTCCTCCAGTACTTCTTCGCGTCGCTCATGCACAGGGACCAGACCTACGAGGCCATACAACGGGGCATGCCCCACGAGGCCGAGGCCCCCGCCGCCTCCGCAGCACCTGAGGCCGAGCCCGAGCCCGAGGCCCCCGAGTCCGAGCCCGCTGCGGCCGCACCGGAGGACGACGAGGAAGCGAAGCAGAGGGCAGCGGCCGCTGCGGCCGAGGCCGACGAAGAAAGGGAGCGCGAGCGAACACAGAGGGAGGAGGAAGAGGCCCGTCAGCAGCAGCAGAAGGCTGAGGCGGAGGCGGAAGAGGAGCGAAAGAGGAAGGAGAAGGCGGCGGCGGAGGAGAAGAAGGAGAAGGAGGAGAAGGAGAAGGAAGAGGCCGCCCGCAAGCTGCGTGCCGAAGAGGAGGCGCAGGCTGAGGAGGCGCAGGCGCAGGCGCGCAAGCTCGATGAAGCGCGCCAGGCCGAGAGGGAGAGGGAAGAGCAGCAGCAGCGGCAGCAGGAAGAAGCGGAGAGTCAGCGCCTGGCGGCCGCCAAGCGAGCTCAGGAAGAGGCCCAGGCCCAGGCCGAGGAGGAGAAGAAGCAGAGGGCCGCGGCTGACGAGGCGGCGGCAGCAGCAGCGGCGGCGGAGGCCCAGCGAGTAGAAAAGGAGAAGAGAGCGGCGGCGGCGGCCCAAGAGGCCCAGGCGCCGAAGGAGCCCGCCAAGCCGGCGGCGACGGTGCGCAGCGCCGAGCAAGCCCAGGCGCCGGTGGTCGCGCAGGCGGCGAAGCGCCACCACCAGGCAGCCGTCGGTGGGGTAGAGGGCCTCCTGCAGCGGCACCAGGCGCTGGTGATCGTCTTTGGCGTTCTCTTTGTCTTTGTCCTCTCCCGTCTCTTGTTCTGATCATGCCCTTCCCCAATACATGCGCACACGTTCACGACACACGCACGCCACGCACGACACGACACGCACGACACGACACGACACGACACGCACACACGCGTGGGAGAGAGGGAAAAGTGGTGGAATAGATTTAATTAGTGGGAAGGAAGCGGTCGTCGAGGGCGGCCTCGACGATGCTGATCAGGAGCGGCACGTCAGCGTGGAAGTTCATATCCTTGGTTGTCGGAAGCGTCCCTGTGTGTGCATCATGTGTGTCGTGTGCGTGCGTGTGTGTGTGTGTGTGTCGTGTGCGTCGTGTGTGTGTGTGTGTGTGTGGTGCGTGTCATGAGGTGGCGTGGGTGATTATAATCGGAGGGGAGGAGTACCGTTGGTGGTGAAGGGAGCGACGACGCCGTGGTAGGCCAGCCCCTTTCGGGCGGAGGTCAGCGGATTAAGGTGGCGCGAGGTGATCAACTGCGGCATCGTACATAACAAGTGTTGGGGAGTGAGTGCCAGCGCCAAACAATCCCTTCCTCTCCACGACCCTCCGTCAGACGCGTGCGCGCGTGCGAATGCGTGCGACTCACCTCGATCGCGTGGGCTCCGGGTCTCGCCGCAGACAGGTACGCAAACCCTAGCGACAAAAACGAAGTCAGTTAACAATTAGGAATAAAATAGAAATAGAAATAGAAATATAATATAAATAGACTGCGCACCGGCGCCGTGTGGGCCGATTATGACGTCGGCGTGCGCGTAGGCGGCCATGGTGAGCGGCAGGGTCCCGTTGGGCAGGTGCTCGTCGAAGGTGATGTCGACCGACTGGTCGGTGACGCCCCGCTGCGTGAGCTTGCGCGGGTAGTCCCGGGCCAGCTGGGCCAGCGCCGCCTTGAGCTCGTCGTAGTTGGCGATCATGCGGCCCTTGTACCGGTTGGTCCGCACGATGCACAGAATGTTGACCTCCCACACATGTGGGGCCTTGGCCTGCGGCGGCGGCGGCGGCAGGGCCAGGACGCTGGTGCGCTGGTCGGCGGGCAGGCCGAGCGCGTTCCAGATCTGGTGGCCGACCAACTGGCTCACGCCCAGCGAGGGCACGTCATCGCGGCTGATGAACTGGGTGTAGTAGATCACCTCCGCCTTGACGAACTGCGCCGAGATCATCCTGTCACTGCACAAAACAAAACAAAGCAACAAGGCAAAGTGAGACACACACGACACACACGCACACGAGACACACACGCACACGCACACGCACACGCTGACGCACACGCACACGCACAGGCACACGCACACGCACACGCACACCGTACGTGGAGATGTTGAGCATGCGGAGGAAGTCCAGCTCGAGGACCTTGTTGCCCATGCTCATGTGGACGTAGACGTCGGGGTTGGCCTGCAGATAGGGCACCAGGAGGAAGATGCGGTAGAGCTCGCTCACCACCCAGTGCCAGAACATGTTTTGGTGCACGTGGGCGATGACCACCACCTCGCGCACCGGCACCCACTGGACGATGAGCGGCTTGGTCTGGTTGGCGGGCGGCGGGAGAAAGAAATCGCGGTAGAAGGTGGTGAGGTTGGTGCTCTCGGGAAAGGTGGGGATGAACACGTCGGTGTTGAGCACCGACCCGGCCCGGGTGACCCAGCCGTCGTAGATGACGGCCACGGCAGGCGGCAGCGTGTTGACGCCGCGCTGGAAGCGCTTGACCTGCTCCCAGTCGCTCCGGTTCAGGGCGAGCCCGAGGGGCTTGGCCAGCCGTTGGGTCAAGTAGACCGTGGCGGCCTCGCGGACCGACGGGTGGTAGCGCGGCGGCACGTAGCGGCGGTCGTAGAGCGCCAAGAGCGATTCGTTGGTCATGTCGGCGCAGAACGGGTCAAAATGGACGCAGTGTAGCAGGTACGCCTTGCCCGTACTGTTCACGCGACCATCTGTTTGTTTGTGTCGTGTCAAGTTGTGCGTGTGTGCGTGCGTCGTGCGTCGTGTGTCGTGTGTGTCGTGTGTGTCGTGTGTGTCGTGTGTGTCGTGTGTGTCGTGTGTGTCGTGTGTGTCGTGTGTCGTGTGTCGTGCGTGTACCAGTCCACAGGGTGTAGATCGAAGCATCGGACATGGTCTGCACCGGCAACTTCCTCGGAGCGTAGAGGTCGCCATTGACGCTCGCGTTATAGTACGCGTGGTCCTGAAGCCACCAACGTCGCTCAAGATGAGTATGTCTCGTGCGCAGTGTCATGTGTTCTGTGCGTGTCGTGCGTGTCGTGCGTGTCGTGTCGTGCGTATTGCCGTGTCGCACGTACGGTCATCTGGGCGTAATGGGCGTGAATGGCAGCCCGCGTGAGGGTCAGCGACAGCGCCGTGCGGCTGGCATTGCTCGGCGGCGGCCACATCGTCTGGCCGCCACCCGGCAGCGCCACGGCGACTGCACGCGGCGGCGATGGCACGGGCACGGAGGGCAGTGGGGTCGGTAGGACGCGCTTGACAGTACCAACGATCTGGACCTGTGGCGGCTGTTGGGCTCCACCTTTGCTAACGGAAAGAAGAGGAGGCAGTGAAGAAGGAGAAGGCAGGCTTGAGCTTCGCGTAACGCCGGTGTCGGTTGCGGCAGCTGCTGCGGTAGCGGCTGCGTTGGCGTGGGCTGCGAGGAAGGCGGCCGCGGTGGCCGGGTCCAAGACGAAGCAGTTGTGTGAGGAGGAGCGTAGGGAGAGGCTGTAGAAGTTGAGCAGGGTCAGGAGCAACAAAAAGCCCATCCCCGCCCTCCATCTGTTCCACATCTATGTCGACGTTCTACGTGCCGTAGATGAACGGAAAAAAAAGTAAATCGCAGAGATCTTGAAGGCTGCTGCGGGAGATTGTATTGTTTTGTGCTGCGCTCTAGCGCAAGTGGTCAAAGGGGGGAACTCCCGAACTGCACATCTCCAGAAAGGCAAGCCCTTCTCTACCTTTTCCAGTTCAAGCACTCTCAATAATTAATAATATTTAAATGTCACATGTTTATTTTATGTACAAACAACAAAATCGCACTAGCAATAAAATCTCTAAATCACAACAGGGAAGTTGATGACTTCTTGAACTACCTTCCTTACACGCCGTCGGCGAAGAGGGCGTTGGGCTGCATGACGTTGCTCTCCTGGAACAGCGCGTTGTCGCCCACGGCCGTCGATTGTGGGGCGTCCAGGGCCGACGCCGGCTCGGCCGGCAGCTTGGCCCGGTTGATCCAGCGGTAGAGCAGGTAGCCGCCGCCCGCCACCAGTCCACCCAGGGCCGCCAGGCCCGCGAGGCCCGCCACGCCGCCGGCCACGCCGCCCGCGATCGCCGCCGTATTGCTCGAGTCGCCGCCCTTGGGCACGACGTACGAAGGCGAAGCCGACGGGGAGGCCGAGATGCTCGGCGATGTGGGAGGCGACGGCGTGAGCGAGGGCGTTACGTAGAGCGAGGGCGAGAGAGAGGGCGTTGTAGAGGCCGAGGGCGAGAGAGAGGGCGTTGTAGAGGCCGAGGGCGAGAGAGAGGGCGATGTGGTAGGCGAGGGCGTGACAGAGGGCGTGACAGAGGGCGTGACAGAGGGCGAGGGCGTGACAGAGGGACAGAGGGCGTGACAGAGGGCGTGACAGAGGGCGTGACAGAGGGCGAGGGCGTGACAGAGGGCGAGGGCGTGACAGAGGGAGAGGGCGAGGGCGTGATAGAGGGCGTCGGCGAGAGCGAGGGCGTTACGGAGGGCGAGGGCGAGGGTGGCATCCAGGCGGGGCAGCTCGCGTCGGGGCTGTTGGCTAGCACGTAGGGCACGTCGTCGCAGGTCCAGCAGGTGTTGCCGCCCTTCCACGACACGGTGCCGCCCTGGACCAGCGTGGCCTTCGAGGCGGTGATCCAGAACGTGGCGTTCTGGGCGCACCCGAGGTCGCTGTTCATCTTGATCAGGCCGGTGGTAGTCTCCCAGTTCCCGTAGGTCCCGTAGCACTGGTTGCCGTTACCGCCGGTGCTGTACCACTGGGTGGTGCAGCCCGTGACTGAGACATAGCGCGTGCTCGTCCCCAGTCTGATTGGTTGAAAAAAGATGTGATGACGTGGCAAGGTTAGGTGGTGTGAACGAGGGTGGGTGCGAATGGAACGTACCCGAAGCCAAAGTCGGAGAGGCCGGGCCGGCCCTGCACGGTATACTTGACCGTGTAGACGCACTGGGCGATCTCCCACGCCTGCGCCGTGATCGTGTAGGGCGAACCGCTACAGTCTGAGACCACATGCAAAATCAGCACTTGCGGTGTGTGCGTGTGCGTGTGTGTGGGCCTGTGCGTGTGTGTGTGCGTGTGCGTGCGTGTGCGTGCGTGTGCGATAGGTACTGGTGGTTGTCTGGGCAGGATAGGCGGTAAGGTAGGTGGTGGGATTCTGAGCTGCTACGCCAGAGGCGAGCAGCAGAAGGGCCAAGGCGGACACGAGCATTGCAGTGTACGCGCAGCGCATGTTGATGTCTTCGTCTTGGTGGATGGTTGATTGGTTGCTTTCGATACGAGCAAGCTTGCTCGAGTGGTTGGATTGTAGCGGTGAAGAAGTGAAACAGGGGCCGCCTTCCCCGCTATAAGAACCCGGGCAAGAATTGGGCCGCAGGCCAGCACTTTGCCGCAAAGGGCACCAACCATAGATGGACCCGCTTCACGTCGATCTCACCATGTGTCTGACCACCGCGCGCACACGCCGAACAGGGCTTGCATGGGCAGGTACCGTTTGATTCCACTCCGAATCCCGTGGTGACACAAGGACACCGTGACCCAGCAAGTTAAGATCAAGCTGCGCAGAAGAAGAAGAAAGTTTGAAGCTCAGCATGGCGTGACGTGACACCAAAACCACAATTAAAACAGTGACTTAAACAGGTATGGTAAGTCAGTTGCACAATAAAGCAAAAGATTTTTTTAAAAAAATACTAAAAAGGAGATGAAGAGGCGAGTACCTCATTTATTGTGATTTTGTGCACATCAGTGGATGCCAGAGCCATCGGGCAGATCGGGCACGGTCAGAGGGCCGTCCTTGGTAACCAGCACTTGGCCCTTGTACGTTGCCTTTCCGCCTGCGGTACGAGGAAAGTCAAGTTAGCAGCAGCAGCAAAAACAACCGCAACCATGCTATCATACCCACAACAGCGAACTCGGGGACCACTTTGCCCCATTGCTTGTGGTTGAGGCAAGCAGCAGGATCGGCGCTAGGCTGCTGGCCCTCCAGATACACCCTAACCCAGGAACGAAGTAAGACGCTTGCCCGATTTTCCACCAGGGCTCAGCTACAGAACGTTGGTGTGGTTACCTGTCGCCGACCTCCGCACCCTGCGGGGGAGCGAGGAGCTTGACAAGCCCCTGCTTGCTGGTGGCGCTGTCGTCGCCCGCGAGCAGCATCGCATTGCTCTCCTTGCCGCGCAGCTATGGAAAAACAAAACACAAATATATTAAATACAATAAACAAATAGAATGTAAGTGTTTACTAGTCACCTTGCTCGCCTTCAAGTTGGTAATGACCACGATCAGTCGGTCCTGCAGCTCCTCGACCGAGTAGTACTTCACCAGGCCTGTCACCTGCAAAAGAGCGGGAGTGTGAGCTTCCCGGTGGGGGGACGTAGAGGGAGCTTGTACGAGCTGTCTGGTCTCCTCCCCGAGCGCGACCTGGCACACGTAGAGCGAATCGGCATCGGGGTGGCGCTCTACGACTTGCACTTGCGCCACCTGCACGCATCGTCGTTAGAAGGGTGCAGCTGATGGATTTGGTTTAGATGGAGCAGAAGGATGGTGGTCGCGAACCTGTAGTGTAGCATCTTCGAAGGGGTCCCTGCTGACAGCCGGCTTGGGTGGTTGCTTGGGTGCCTTCTCCTGCTTCTTCTTGGGCGCGACTTGCTTCGAAACGTTCGCCGTGGCCTCCTTCTCTGCGCTCGTGCTAAGACGCGCTACGTTTGCCTCCAGAGGCGCCGCCACTGATTGAGCCTGGGGCTGTTGTGCCTCTGTCTGCAGATGCACCCGCGTGAGGAACGAACGATGGTGCTCGATGAGGGGAGCTGGTGGTGAGTGCCGGACCTCGGAGCCCACCTCTGCTTCAATTTCGGCAATCAATGCCCGAAGCTCCTTAAGCGATTGCGCTGGCGAGACATCAGTAGTATCAGTATCCTGAGGAGTGTGGATCCAGCGGGAGGAAATAGGAGCGTACAAAATGGGCCTTGATTTGTTGTCATCGCGATGGGGTGCTTTTTTGTTATTATATATTATTTTTTATTTTTATTTTCTTTCTCGATTAGATTGCAGTGTTCGGTGAACTTCATTGATTTGCCAAAGCCACATGCAAGACCAGCCAGAACCTCTCCTTGGTGCGTGGCTGCCTGATTATCGTGGCATTGTCGTTTAGTGGTGCATTTGGCTCCCCGCTGAACGCGTTCCTTTGTCACCACAGTCCCAACACGCGTCTACGGTGGGTACTGCAGCGGCGGAGGGACGCTTGCCGCCACCCTCGGCCGCTTCGGCGTGGTACTTGTGCCCAAGTCGTCTTCGTTCTTTTCTTTCCTTTTCGTTCTTCTTTACACCATTCGTGCTTTCGCGTGCGGTGGTGCGTGTGTGGTGCTTATCACAGTCGCCCAAGAGAGCGCTGGAGCTGTGTGCTCAAGAGACGAGCACCGACTGGACCAACTACAAGATCGACGTCGTGTTTCACGTGCCCCGGCTCGGGGCAAGACCCGTACAACAGTTGCGCGTAGATGTCACCCCGAGCGCGTCCGCCATGGTGCTGCGAGGCTCCTCTTATGTCCCACCCGACGTCGCCGACCGCGGTCTCATCCTCGCCACCTTGATCAAGGGTATCATGCTACCCTGTGAAGTCGTCAGCATACCGTTGTATTCTCACCACATACCAGGCGGCTACGAATGCAAGACCCGATCACCGGAGGAGAGGAAACACAAATGTACGACTGCAGGCGAGGGCGTGGTGAATCTGACGAACTTACAAGTGCCACACTTGTTGTTGATGATGATGATGATGATGAGTATGTCGGTGATGTGGTTCGCAGTCAAGCACGAGGCCGACATTATGGCGGGGACGGTGTACGCCATCGCCAAGCAGCAGCGAGTGTGGAAGCGATCCTTCGCCAGAGAGCTGGTCGGGACGGTCAAGGAGGTGCTGGGGACTTGCCACTCCCTGGGCATCACCGTCGATGGTTCGTGCCTTGACGGCCCACCGTCATCTTCACGCCCAAGCCAAGGCCAAGCTGACGCTTACTCATCTCCCCGCAGGGATGAAGGCGCTGGCGTTCCAGAAGGAGATCTTGGAGGGTCGGGTGGTGGTCCCGAACGAAGAGGCTGTGCCGACCTTCATGCGCGAAGACGGCAGTGGAGTGGAAACGAGTCTGTGCAAGGAGACCTACATGAGCGACGAAGAGAAGCAGGCCATGAAGGACAAGGCCACCGCCAAGATGATGGAGGTTCGCTACCGAAAGTGAAACGTGCATTCTTTTTACTTACTATCCCTTCAGCAAGCTCCACTCATCCCTTCACCTTCTTCTTCTTCATGTCCACCTCTTCATGTCCACCTCTTCCTCTACATATGTCGACAAATTATGGGAGATCTTCGAGTTCGTCTACGCGCTGGAGGATCTTGGTCCTGCTGGTCTCGATGACCTCACCGCCCACGATCACCTCGTCGAGGATGGCGTAGACGCGGTTGAAGTTGAAGACCAGGTGGAGTTCGCACACGTTGTGGTCAAAGTAGCTGTCGAGGAGCTCCACGATGAGGTGGATGGCCTCGAGCGCCGCCAGCTCGTTGTCGTCGGGATCGACGCACACGCAGAAGTAGAGGCCCGCGTAGCGTCGGTAGATGAGCTTGTGCTCGCGGTACTCGGTGAAGTTGGTAAACTTGGTCAGGCGCGCATTGACCAATCGATGGATCTCGGCCGATAGCTTGCTCTTCTCTTCATCCTCGTAGGGCACGTACCACTTGGCGAGCCGCACCTTCCCCTGTCGGTTCTGGACCAGGAAGAAGCGCAACATCTCCTTCCTCTCCTTCCTCACGTTGTTTTTTCTTTTTCCTTTGTATGCCCCGTTTTCCCTACATTTCCTTTCTGCCTTTTTAGGTAGTTGAAAAAAAAACTACTGCCCGCGGAGGAGAAGCTGGCAGCCCGTTGCCTTGAAGCTGCCATGCTCTTTCGAAGTCCAATGGCCACGTGTTTACAATTCAAACCCCTAATGACGCCTAGATAGATCAACGTCCTAAAGGTGTGCACCGCTCAATTTGGAGTACGCCTTCCATAAGTCTTCAAAAGGATACCTCTCTTTGTTTGAACCGGCCGCAATGATGATTGGTGCCGTCAAAACTGAACGCGGACAGTGGTCCTTCAAAGGAAGGTCGTATCTGGAGCTAAGCACAGCAGGTTGTAGAAGGTAAGTGATACCTCTTCTGGTTCCTTGCCATTGACCTCACCACCAACAACTCACACACTGTATCGCCTGGTGCATCTTCTTCAAGATGGCTATGTATCTCCAAAGCATTGATCGAGATTCCGTCTTCTGGCGCAGCAGCAACAAAATGAGTATCGACCGCCCACATCACCTCGTCCTGTACCTCAACAAAGCAAGAGCTCAATCCCCTTCCTCCTCAACGACAATCGGCAGCAGAGCCCCTACGAGCTCTACCTCCCCGCACCTCCTCGTCGTCAATGGTCCGCGCCCACAGAGGTCATTCACATCCAGATTGACGACGTCGATGAGGTTCACCCCGCCGGCCAGACCTCCTGGTTGGATGACATCAAGAGCCGCGAGAGCGACAACGAAGACGATGAGGAATCCGGCTACATGTACGAGAGCGATGTCGCCCAGCCGCCCAACCTTCCCCCCATCTCCTCAATCCTGTTCACCCCCGATCCGTCGGTTGGTGGCTCTCCGAGGTCCTCGCCCATGTGCTCGCCCAGGGCAACCGCCGCTACTTCTTCATCCACCACCGGCGTGCCTCTGTTCGGGAGCGTAACTTCCTCTGAGTCGTCCAGCTCCTCATCCCCCCTGAGCTGGCTCAACGGACCGGTCGAGGACGCCTTCTCGTCGCCCAGGTGGACCAGCACGACCACCTTCTCACCCAGGGCAACAACAGGAGGAGCTCAACAGTATGCTCACAGCCCCAGAGACCCGGCCGTCGCTACCACCCCACGATCGGAGCAGCTGCCGGAGTCCAGCGGCTATGTCTTCCACTCGTCACCTCACTCACAGGCCACCGGGGGCACCACCCATCAACAGCAGGCCTGGGCCAGCTGGACGCAGAACGGTGCGAGCGGCTCCTTCCGAACTCAGCCGACGTCGGGCACGACGGTCTACTACCCTCTGGCCCCGCTGGCGTCGGCACCGATCACCCGCAACTCCTCCTCTGGCGACGCTGCGGCCAGCCCCAGCCCGCGGGGCAGCCGTAACACGTCGCCCGCGGCCATGCTCAGCTCGTTCCGCCAGGGAGCCATCTCGCGCTCGGCTCCGTCCCTGATGCCAGGCCAGCAGCCCCCCAACCCGAACAACCACCATCAGAACATGCACGCGAACATGGGCAAAGCCAGCACCAACAGCAACGGAAGCTGGACCAACTCCTCTCCCAGAGGCCTAGCCTCGCTCAGGCAGGGCGCCACTTCGGTCTCGTCGCCGTCGCTCCTGTCATCGGTGGGCGGCACCCAGTCGGCCTCGGCCTCGCCCGCGTTCCCATCATCACTCCACAAGCTCGACAAGCTCCACCGGCAGTGGGTCATGACCGAGTCCAGGACTCCAACCAACCACTCGACGGCGCTAATGATGCAGTCCTCGCCACACTCGTCGCCCAACCCAGATGCGCCCCACGCGGACCCGCTAGGCAAGAGGAAGCGCGGGCGAGGCAGCCCGGGAGCCAGCGCCGGTGGCGACTTCACGTTCCTCCACCTGCAGGTGGGCAACGACGGGCGGCTCACCATGGTCAAGGAGCTCAATTGACCTTGGCTAGGGCCGCGTGACGTGTTGTACAAACAGTGTACCACTAAAGCCACATATGCGGCTCAAAACAGGCCTCAGCACGTGCTATTTGATGGTGCCCTGTCTGCCTATTGGTCGGTTAACTGACGTCAACAACTGCCCCCACCACTCCGCGGAGGGTGGCGGCCAAAGGGACGGCTTCACTTCCTCTTCGTCTCCGCCACCAACCCTTTCGCTCTCTCGGCTCTCTCGTTGGCTGGTGCTCCTTGTTGAAAGCGGACATGTTCCCAGCGCGGTGCTGCGGGCTCCTCCTTCTCTTTTCCATCTTTCTACTTAGCGCGGATGGAACACGACGAGAGCAGCAAATCGCTTCTACTTCTTCCTTTCCCTCTCCTTCTCCCTCTCCGCATTCACAAACTGCAACGTCCGCCGCGTTGACATCGTCTACAAAATCTGCAACGCTGTCATCTTATGAACCATTCGGGCGGATTAAATTCGTGAGCTCCTGCGGAGGACCGGACCAGCGACGACGATTGAACGACGGCATCGCCCTCGTCCACTCCTTTTGGTATGAAGAGGTACCTCACGCCCACTCATCCATTGAACACGCGTAAAATCCCTTTTACGCCAGAAATCTCACGATTTCAATCTCCATTTCAAAGGCTCGTGAGATCTTTCAGTCGCTAGCAAATGAGGTGCGTACAAGACATCACAACGCAAGCGATGCGTTGAAGTGGACAATGGCATGACAGTTCGTGTCGTGCTCTTCAGGTGGCAAACTGCACGATGGGGCACTGGGGCGTGGCGATGTCCTACCTTCAGCCCCTGTGGTCCTACCCCACGGACCAGGAGATGCGGGCTGGGGCCGCGGCCCTGCAGCGCGCTCGGGCCACGCTTCACGACCCCAAGGTGACCGAGCTCGAAAAGGGGCACGTTTGGGTGCGCACCTCGTGGTTGTGTTGTAGTAAGCTACTCACGGTGGCGTGTTGTGTGTCAAATTTGATGATGTCTGATCATGTGTCTTCGTGGCTTTGGCCTTCCAGGCACTGGAGGGCTTCTTTGCCGAGCACGAGCGGTTGCCCTACGCCAAGCGGATTCTGCTGTGGGAAGCGCGAATGGAGCGACTCTGGCAGAGGTACGCTTCTATCTATTTTGACCGACGGAGCCTCACCTCCGCGGCGGAAGAGCATGCTTGTTGATCATCACGCCCGGCCCGCGCTTGCGCACAGGTATCCAAAGGACACGGAGACGATCGTGTTCTACGCACTGGCGCTCAAGTCAAAGAGTCTGATCAATCTCGAGGCCGAGGGCGGCAAGATCTACCGCAGTCTCGACACAGGTAACACCACCACCGTCGTCATCATCATCAACAACAGCTTTGTACGTGTCTATATAATGTCTTTCTATATATCTATCAGAGGAGGAATCGGCTAGCGACGCGACGGTCTTCTACAATCAGAGGAAGGCCGGTAAGATGCTGGAGCTCGTGCTACTTGAGGAAAGGTACCGCGGCACTGCACCGTCGCATGTGCAACAAACGCCTAAAAGCAAGTTTCCTGTGTGGCATTGGTGGCGCCAAGATACCATCCTGGCGCGTTGCACTACTTGATCCATTCCTACGACTACCCGCTGCTCGCACACAAGGCACTTCCCTACGCCAAGAGGTAAAAAAAACACCACCTTACGCCTTTCTCCTTTCACCTCACTCACGCCACACACAAATGATAGGTATGCGCTCGCAGCGCCGCTGGTGGCACACGCGCTCCACATGCCCGCCCACATATTCGTGCGGTTGGGCCAATGGCGGAATGCGATCGTCAGCGATCTGCATTCCATGAACGTGTCGAGCATCTTCTTCGCCAAGAAGCTGCGCGAGGGCAAGGCGGGCTGGCGGGCTGACGGCATGTACGACGAGTACCTCCACTCCCTCGACTACCTCGTCTACTCCTACCACCAAATCGGTACGGCGCAGTCATTGCTTCAGCCCCTGCGTGTGCGGTGGTGCGTGTGGCTTACACCGCACACGCGCAGGTCAAGACCGGAAGGCAGCAGCGTTTGTGGCGGAGGTGGTGCGCACGGAGCACAATTTCCGAGCCTCACGCACGGCAGCGTGTACTCGCTGATCGCCGCCACCGCCCGCTCGCTCGCCGAGACCCATAACTGGGAGGCGCTCGCCCAGTACCAGTTCCCGCTCGCCCTCGCCTCTGACCTCCGCAACGGCGTACGCGTCCACCCAGACATCGTGCGTGTGCGGCGGTGCGTGTGCGAGTGTCGCGTGCGTGTGTTGTGTGTCGTGGCTGACGCGTGTGCGGTGTAGGGAACGAGTGTGGGCGACTGGGCCAGCATGTTTAAAGTCTATCTGCGGCTGCTCGGCCTCTCCAATCTACCGGTGGTGCTTGACCGATCGGCCGAGGCGGACGCCGACGCCGACCGGGCCGACCGCCTGTGGAGCATTCGCCAAGAGGTGGCCGACAGCCTGGCGCTCATGCGCAACCTGTCGACATCGCCGCGCCTCGAGCGGGAGCTCAAGCAGGACCTGAGCGTGCTCTGGCGCATTACTGCCGACGTGCAGCTGGGCGTGGCCCAGGCCGTCCACGAGTGGGTCGAGGATCGGCGGGACGAGGCCATCGCCATACTCACGCGAATGGCCGACATCGAGGACTCCTACTTCAAACCCTCCGTCAAGCCATCAGGTACCAACATATCGCGTGTGCGTGTGCGTGTGCGTGTGCGTGTGCGTGTGCGTGTGCGGTTGTGCGAATGCGTGTGGGAGTTAAGCTCACACTCTTTGCAGTGATTTATCCTGTGCGAGAACATCTGGCGGACAAGCTGGTGTTGGTTGGGCGGCTGGACGAAGCGCTGGCCGCCTACAAAGCGACCCTGGAACAGCAACCCCTGCGGTACGCCCTTCTACATTCATTTCTGTATTTATGTTCTATGGAGAATTTACATTCTAGCTTGGTTCGCTGACCAATCATGTACGCGCGCAGATTCAACAGTCTGCTGGGTGCGGCCAAGACGGCCCGCGCGCTGTATCGGTACGAGGAGGCCAATGTGCACTACACCACGCTGCTCCAGCAAATCACCGGCTGCGAGGAGGTCAAGCGGCAGGAACGCTTCTCCACCACGTACGACCCCAAGCGAGTCGGGCGCGTGGGCGCCGTCAAGCTCGACGCCGACGCCGATGAAGACAACGACGACGATGACGAGTACCTCGAGGAGCTCGAAGACTGCATCTTCCGCGTCATCACCGACCAGAGCGAAGGCGACATCGACGGCTACAGCGGCGGCGCTGCGGGGACCGAGCCCGGTCGCCACGCCGAGGTGATGGGGGCCATGCAGTTCGTGCACCACCAGCGGCTCCAGCGCGAGCACAAGCGACAGCGGCGGCTGGCCCTTCTGCGCGAGCGTGCGGCCCGCGGCGGCCGGGCCTCGGGCGCGCCGAGCCTGATCACGGTCGAGATGCGCACTCTGTGCCTCTACCTCCTGCTCTCGGCCCTCCTCGGCTTCGCCGCCTCCCAGGCCGTCACCCACTACCGCAAGAAGAACAACTGAGACCCCCCCAGCTACGTAGTAGTGCTGTTGTTGTGGTTTATTATTCTTTCAATTGGCGATATCCCTCTCTCCCCCTTGTTGTGTGCGTGTGTTGTATGCGCGTGTCATGAGTGCGGTGGTGTGTGCGGTGCGTATCTACAAGGTGTGGTGTGTCGTGCGGCATGAAGTGGCAGTCTAGGACTGGGAGCCGATGGTGCCGTAGTCCTCGCTGGCGAGCGTGCCATAGGTCTCCCTCGTCTTCGTCGACGCGCTGCCCGTCACCGATCCATCTGCACGCACCAACCACCATCATGAGTGCGTGTGCGGTGTGTGTCGTATGCGTGTGCGGTGTGTGTCATGTGCGGTGTGTGTCGTGTCGTACATTCGAGGGACCTCTCCTTGTAGAGGTAGTAGGAGACGAAGGCCTGGGCGGCGACCAGCCACACCATGAGGTAGGCCAGGACGCGGCTGAAGGAGACGTAGCCATAGCACAGGCTCGAGGCGTGGTGGTGGCTCAGGTTGAACCACTCGTGGCAGTGGGCCGGGTGGCTGTCGTACAGTTCGTAGAGGCTGTGCTCGAAGCCGAGGAACGGCATGCGGCCCAATAGGGCGAGCAGGTTAAACACGCAGATAAAGGCGTACTGTTGATTGGTTGGTTAATGAGTGGTTGGTGGGTTAGCAACCGATCACTAAGTGTGAAAGAGAAATATGGCAATTGGTAAGTACCACGGCGAGGTAGTCGACGCCGAGGGTGATGCCGGTGAAGAGTCCGAAGATGGCGGTGAGGCCCAGTTGTACGGCCCACTCCCATTGGGCCGTGGCCAGCAACAGCACCGCGAACAACTGCGAGCGATTGGTCAGATTTTATCAAAAGCTCCACGGAACGTGTGTCGTGTGTGCGGTTGGGTGTGTGTCGTACCATCTGGATCATGACGTGGAAGAGCAGGAGGTACTTGAGAAGGCGGAAGCTGCGGGTGCCCCGGGTGCCCATAGTGCCGGCGATGATGCTCAGGAGGAGGAGCATGAGGAAGCCCACGATGGGGATCATCCACCGGTGCATGTCCGACTGCGAATCCCGGTACGACTCTACGCTCTCTGCCAGCACCATCTTCTTATTCTTCTTCTGCTCTGCACTATGCTATGTGTTGTGTTGAGTTTGGTGTGTTGCGTGTCGAGCGCAAACGATGAATGAATGCCACACTCTGCCAGGCCGGTGCAGTTTTATAGTTCGTGGTGGGATCGGCCGCGCTCACTCGACTTCTCGCTCGAGGCTTCGATGACAGGCCCGACACGGCCGATTGCTCTTCCGCGTGGAACCCAGCCCCAACCGTCGGGGTCGCTGTCGGTCACCCACGCCAGACTTCGTCCGCTCCCCGGTCGAAATTTCAGTCGCGCTCATCTTAAGGTGGCCATACACGTCGTCACGTGTTTTTGTCGACTTGGTATATTAATTATTATTTGATCTGTGTGCTTCAAGAAGATGAAGATGAAGGTGTGGAGGTGGAGATGACGGACTGGAGGAGGTCGAGGGCGCGGGTGACGAGGGCCATGTCGGCCTGGCTGCCCATGTGGCCCAGCCGGAAGACCTTGCCCTCGAGCAGCGGCCCGTAGCTGCCGCCCACCACCAGACCCCGCGCGCGCAGGGCGCCGTCGAACGCCGCCCACGACTCGAAGCCGCCGCGTCCCAGCGGCACGTAGATCGCCGTGACCGTCGACGCGAAGCCCACTCCACCGTCATCATCATCATCTTCTTCTTGTGACGTTGTTGATGTATGATGATGATGGTTCGCGGCCCTTGACATAGAGCTCGAGGCCCATCTCGCGCACACGCCGCCGACAGTAGGCGGCGACGGCGCTGTGCCGCGCCAGCTGCGACTCGAGGCCCCCGTCGGCGGCAACGGCGTCCAGCGCGCGGCCGAGCGCAGCGAGCGAGTGCCAATCGAAGGTGTAGGGGAAGAAGCGCCGGGCGAGGGCGCCGCGCCAGGGCAGGAGCGCGTCGTAGCCGACGTAGGCCACGGCCTCGATCTTGCGCCAGGCGCGCGGGCTCACGGTGACGATGCTGAGCGAGGGGGTGGAGCTGAGGGCCTTCTGGCTGCCGAGGAGGCCCAGGTCGATGTCCCACTCGCCCACGCGCACGTCGGCGCCGAACGCGGCCGAGACAAAGTCGACGTAGAGGAGCGCGTCGACGTCGCGCGCGATGCGGCCGAGCGGCGCGATGCGGTTCATCATCCCTGGCACGAACGAGGAATGAATGGAATGAAGACGGTGGTGGTGGTGATGATGTGCGCAGAGCTCTGTTGAGGAGTACCTGATGGCGTTTCGCACTGTACGGCGGTGATCAGGTGCGGCTTGAAGCTTCGAGCCACTACACAACGCATGAACGCGTTGATGAGGTCAGTGTCGTGTGTGTCGTGTGTGTCGTGTGTGTCGTGTGTCAACACGGAGTAGGAGTGCACCTTCGGCGATGCGGCCAAAGTCGTGCAGCGGCTGATCGTACTCGAACTCCACTACGCGCACGTCAGCGCCGATCTGTTTGGCCATCTCCGCGAAGCCCGAGCCATACACACCTGTGATGGCCGACGCAGCGCCTCATCAACACTTGATGGCGAGTAGCGAACAACAACTCGATGATCGATTCAAATCGACAGAATTTGATCAAATTGGCGTAGCGGGGAGGGCGGGCACCGTTGGAGATGGCGAGTACGCGGTCGCCCGCCTTGATGGTGCTCTTGAGGGCGGACCAGAGGGCCAGCATGCCCTCGCCCACTTGGATGATGACATCATTCTCGTAGGGCAAAGATGAAGATGAGGCGGACGAGGAGGGGACACGCAGAAACTCGGCGAGGCGGGTCTGCACGTGCGCGTAGAGCTCGAAGAAGGGGAGCTCGAGATCCGCGCTCGCGTAGTCGATCGCAAATGCATCGCGCACGTGCTGCGGCACGCTCGTCGGGCCTGGCACCATCCCCACCGGGTACGTCTCATAGTAGCCGTACGTCGCCGACCCGCCAGAAGACGACGAAGAAGTGGGTTGTGTCGCCATCTCTTTGTTTTATTATAATTATATTTAAATATAAAAAAGTGGTTTTTCTGAATTTATTTGTTTATTGAAATTGAGTCGACCAAAAAGGGCCAACACGAATTCATCTTTGCCATTCCAACCATCGTTGCGCAAACCCTCGATTCATCAAGTGAGCGACACAGAAAGCGACTTGGTCGGTTCATCTGAGAGGCCTCAAGAAGAGAGAAAGAGAGAAAGTGCAAATTCCATCTCAAGTCGACTGACTAATTTATTCAACCGTCCCAGCCGGGCGACTCGCCATCAACGATGCGCTCCACGGCTGCTGGTGGTGCCACGAAAAATCAAAGGGGCCAGGCCAACCCTCGCGCAGGCCAATCATCGAATGGAATCGCGAACAACAACAAGACTACTCAAAATCATCATAATGCCACAGCGACCAACGCCATCACCATCAACAACAACAAGAGAAAGAACAATAATGGCAGCAGCAGCAACGCCACAGCCTCACCATCCACCTCGCCTTCTCCAACATCATCATCTTCTTCTTCCTACGCGTCCAAGCTCTCTTCGTCTGGTTCGGGCTCGCCCAACCGCCGGCAGCCCACTGACCCAGCCGCCACGTCAGCCAACAAAGCCACCACCGCAGCCGCCGCCGCCGCGACTGGCCAAGCCCAGCCGCACGAGGTGGTCGAGCAGGAGGAGGAGGAGGACGTGCGGGAGTGGCTGCACGCGAAGCTCGAGTCGACGTTCGGGCTGGACGCGAGCGTGTACGGGAGCTACCTCGAGGGCTTCCTCCAGACCGAGCCGTCTTCGGGCTCGGCCAGCGACGACGAAGGCGCACGCGACGCCATCCGCGAAGTTCTGCTCGCCGCCGCACTCGACCAGGTGCGCACACGCACACGCACGACGCACGACACGCGCGTGATTGTTGACGGTTTGTGTGTGTGTGTTGTGTGTGTGCGCGTGTGCGTGTGTCGTGTGTTGGGTGTGTTGTGTGTCAGGAGGGAGTGGTGGAGGAGTTCATCGAGCAGCTGATGCGGCGATGGGCCAACCGACCCAAAGGCGCGGCTGCCGCGAGAAGGGCAACACCAACGACGTCGTCGTCGGCGCCTCAGGTCGCAGCCGGCCAACCATCGACCGCCAAGCAGACCGCCTCCTCGCGGCGGAAAACCACCAAACCGCAGGTGCGGTACCACACACGCACGCACGCGTGTGCGCGCACACAACTAACGACACGGCACGACACGACACGCGCGTGATGCAGGCCATCGCGCCGCCCAAGGTGCCGCCGTCGGCGGGCGCCATCGGTCAGTCGGCGCGCGGTCGCTCGGCCTCCACCTCGGCTGCTCCGGCCGAAGCCGACGTCTCGTCCTACCCGGCGGGGTACTTTGGCGTGAGCAACCTCACCGCCGACGACGACGAGCTCGTCAACGACGAGAGGGAGGACGACGAAGAGGAGATGCGCCGCCACACCGAGTCTATGGTGTCGGCCCTCCTCGGCGATGACCTGGGCCTGGGCCTGGGCATGGGCGGCGACCCCGACGGCATGATGGTGGGCGGCCTGTCGCTCGACGACGACGACGCCTACGACACCGGCGAATTCAACGGCGGCGGCGGCCACTACTACGGCGGCTTTGCGTCGCCGGCCGGCGGGTTCCTCAGCTTTGGCAGCGGAGGCGGCGGCGGCGGCGGCGGCATGGGTTCGTCGTCGCCTGTACAGTTTGTCGACTTTGCGCCCTCGCCTTCGCTTTCGCTTTCGTCTTCGTTCTCGTCGCCGCCGCGATCGCCCTCGCCCTCCTCTTCGCCCTCGCCTTCCTCCATCTCCTCCTCTTCGGCCAAGGACGAAGCCTTCGAAATGCTCGTCTCCATGTTCAACGACTATGAGCGGTACACGGCACACGCACGACACACACAACACGCGCGTGCGTGTGCGGAGGGAGATGAGTTCTGACTCTTGTGCGTGTGCGGTGTGTGCGGGCAGGGAGGGGCTCCAACAGCTGTTCGATGCGAACGACCGGGACATGGAGCGAACGGTGGCCATCCTGCTCGAAATCGAGCGGGAGGAGGCCGACACCAACCCAGGCACCGCCGCCTCAGCCGCCTCCGCCGCCGCCACCGCCCACGGTGCTCGGGTACCCCCTCGCCCCATGCCTTTGCCTCCTTTGCCGCCGTATAGGGCCTGGCCCACGCCTGATACGCCGCACTCGAAAAAAAAGGGTCCGCAGGCCGGTGCCGCGGTGGGTGGACCGGCAAGCGGCGCCGCAGCCAAGGGAGGCCTCGGCCCCGTCGACGCCAAGCACCCGATGCAGAAGATGCCCGCCGGTACCCCCACCCCCCAATGGTGCCCGCATTTCATACATTTCTCACGCGTGTGCGGTGTGTGCGGCGGTGACACAGACGTGGTGGCGCCACCAAATGCGAACAACATTGTGTGCCGGTACTACCTGAAGGGCAAGTGCTTCCGGGCCGACTGCTGGTACTCTCACGACCTCCGGGCGGTCACCTGCAAGTACTGGATGGCCGGCGAATGCCTCAAGGTGCCCCTCCCCCCTCCCCCCATCAACCGCACACGCCGCACGACACACGCCGCACACACCGCACACGCCGCACGACACGCGCCCAACTCACATAGGTGTGCATGGTGGGAGTGTAGGGCGACATCTGCGAGTTCAGGCACGGGTACGACCCGCAGCAGCTCCAGTCGCGCACGCAGAAGGTGACCACGGACTACGCCACCTCGTTCCCCTCCCTCCCCTCGTCTTCGCCCACTCCCGCCGCCTCGGCCGCCGCCTTCCCCTCGCTCTACGCCGCCCACCATCACCATCACCCGCAGCCGCAACACCAGCATTCCAGGAATGTGGCCGCCGCCAAGCCGACATTCCTCACATTCTCCGACGTCGGCGCGCCGCCACCACCTCAAACCGGCGGCGGTGGCGGCGGTGATGCGATGAACATGGCGCAGCGGCTCAAGCTGCAGAAGCTGCAGGAGGAGTTCCAGGACCTGGTGGAGGAGGAGACGGTGCGCGACGTGTTTGTGCGCGAGGCGGGCCTGGGCTACGAGACGGCCAAGGCGCGGCTGCTCGCGCGGCACCCGGACCTCGCGGCGCGCAAGCAGGAGCGCGACCGGGAGCGCGAGCGCGAGCGCGCGCGGCAGCAGAGCCGGCAGGCGTCGCAGGCCGTCCAGGAGAAGAAGCTCACCGAGATCATCCGGGGCCTCAAGAAGAAGAACAAGGTCGGCTGGGTCGAAACTGGTACGCCCGCGCGCGTTGCAGAATGCACGGAATGCTGCTGGACGAAGAATGCATGGAATGCTGACGTAAGCACGTGTGCAGGTGAGAGCGTGGGCGAGCAGTACTCGGCGCTGAGGGAGAGGGCGATCGAGCACGCGCGGGTCCGCAACAAGCTGTTCCAGGAGGCCACGCAGGCCTACCTGGTCGGCAACAAGTCGACCGCCACCCAGCTCTCCGCCCAGTACGCCCGCTCCTCCCCTTCACTCTCCCCCTACGCTCCACCGTGTCTGACGCCGCGCACGACACGACACGACACGACACGACACGACACGACACGACACGACACGACACGACACGACACGACACGACACGACAATAGGGGGAGGCTGCACCAGAAGAAGATGGAGGAGCTGCACGAGCAGGCGTGCCAGCAGATCTTTCAGTCGCGCAACTCGTCCCACCCCGACGTGCTTGACCTCCACGGCCTGCACGTGGACGAGGCCCTCTCGATACTCGAGACCTTCCTGCTCAAGCAGGCCCGCGAGCTCGTCGACGGTCCGCCCCAGTCGCAGTCGCAGTCGAGCCGAGCGCAGCACAAGTCGGCCGTCGCGACCGCCACCGGCCTCTACAACGGTTCATTCTCTTCGGCCACGGCCACTTCGTCGGCGCTGTCGGCATCGTCGGGGTCGGGGTCGAGTGGCGGCGGCGGCGGCGGGAAGGGCACACACGCCGGCTTCAAGCTGGTCTACGTCATCACCGGGACGGGCCACCACTCGCAGAGCAAGAAGGCGCGGCTGCAGCCCGCCGTGCAGAAGTTCCTCGCCGAGCGCGGCTACGCTTCTGTGGACACCTCGCCCGACGGCCGCGGCGGCATGCTCACTGTTACCATAAAGCCTTAGCCCTCACTACCGCACACGCACACACCGCACACACCGCACACGCTGGCTTTTTTGCACATGTTTGTGTTGTGTGTTCTTTGTTGTTTGGTTCATCAGACGATCATTTGGCTGCGGTTTGCTTGATGCGGGCCAGGCGCTCCTTGAGGGCCTGCACGTCGAGCGTGGCGCTGGAGGGGCTGGTGACCGACGTGGCGGCGGCGGAGGCACTGACGGGCGTCATCGCCGCGTAGGACGGGGCGGAGGCGAGGTCAGAACTGAAGGCCGACGACGGCGAGGGCGAGGGGGTGCTGACGTCAGCAGCGGAGGGCGCCTGGTGGTGAGTTGGTGTCGCCGGCGCCACGCCGGCTGTGCGCAGGACGGTGTTGAGCCGCA